TCTGGTGGCCAACGTTGACTCTTTCTTGTGCACATGGGCTTGGTTCCAGGTTGCAGCTCGATGTCACACTGCACCAGATTTGTGCGACCCAATTCGCTCAATTCGTGAGCAAATAGGTCTCCGTAGCGACACACTAGGGCGTTAAATGTTGATCGCTGCTCAGGTGTTGCTGCGTCACCAATATGCAAAGTGTCGACATTATCCACTGTGATGTGGAAACAATCAACAACCGGTGACCTGCAATAAATTGCATCAGCCGTCACTGGTTGTACAGCACGACCTGCCTTGCGAACATCCCACAGGAGCCCCATACTCTCAGAATTCATCCCACCGGTTCTTTTGGAGTCATCAGCTGGTGCATTGCTCTCAATTCCTCCTCCATAAACATCATCCAAAGCGATGCTCAATGTAGTCTCTTCGAACTGAGTAGCCAACGCAGTTCTGTCGACAGCACTTGTCTCTCGATTGTCTATCCACTTGGTGTTATGGCTGACGTCTTCCGGATCTGCTTCCGCGTCTGGTAGGAAACCATCATGGACTATCCCAGAGTCGCCATTTAACTCAGAAAGCGTATGTTTTCCTTTGGGATCATCTTGTACCGGCAGCATCTCGGTCAGCCCATGTCGTTCATCAGAATCGATTTCGCGACCCACCAGTACCAGATATCCTTCTGTTGCTTCTTCTTCCAACTCCTCCGATTCTGATTCTTCTCCGGTCATTTCACTTTCTGATCCATAATCATCGGAGTCACCAGACTCACTGGTCGCCACTGAAGTATCACCCACGATTGCTCCCGTCTCATGAGTAATACAATCAAGCAACTCGCAAACACGCTCAGAATCAGTGAGCTGTGTCGGCACCCCCACCAATGGCAAGAAGCTGCCCTCGGCGTTCTGAATGAAATGTGAATCTGTGCCCCAGAACGACACCACTTGGTTAAGCCTCAACCATGGTTTACCAAGAAGTGCTGGGTATCCTGCGTTGGTGTGCATCAGATGGAACAAAACATCCGTCATGACACCAGCCACATCAACATGAGTTTTGACATAGCCAAGCAAAGGTCGCCGTCCACCGTCTGCCATACGCACCACAGCACCACTTGGACCCAAAACACGCAATCCACACACTTTGGCTGCTTCTGGTTCCATCAGGTTTAGCATTGCTCCAGGGTCAATAATAACCCCTTGGCAGGCCCGATCAGCAATATGGCAGTCAATTCTGATTGCTTTCTCGGTTGTCAACTTGTTGACCTCAGCTGCCATCACTTCTGGTGTTCTTGTGACTGGTTGTGTATTGGTGATTGGTTGTGCACTGCTCATAGCTTGAGGCTGTGAGCTGCCTTCCACATCCATAGCTTCTCCCTTTGGCTTTGTTTTCTTCGGCCTATCCAAGGCAATCCCAGTGCGCAATTCACGCCGCACTGTTGGGGATACTTGGAGTAGTTGTCCCAGCGAAATTGAAACCGGCAGATTGAACAAAGCTTCAGATACTTGGAACTTGGGTTTCCCCCGGCCACACACAATCTCTGTCAATGGAGTACGTTTCTTCCGTTCTCCCACACGCTTGACACGGACTCTTTTCTTACTTGGTTCTTCTTTGTCCTCTTCAATCGTTTCTTCACCAGCAAATGCTTCCAGTTCCATTGTCATAGCATCATGGCTTCCTTTGCCATTCACACAACGACCTGATGATTGTCGTTGATGGCTCTGAGATGGATCATCAGTACCTCGAATGTCCTCAGCTCGGACATTCGCAGCCGTTCCAAGGGGTGTTGCATTCGCTCCCGTCAGTGGCCGACCTCTACCAGCATTGTTTTGGTCATTGTCTTGATGCCAATTGTTGTTGTAGTCAGCTCTGCCACCAATTTGATTCTCTCTCCAAGTCATGCGTCCTCCACCTCTTCCACGACCTCTGCCACGATTGGCTGGCCCCAAATTCCCAGGAAAAGGACTCGATTCTGCACGGTCTTTCGAGCCCATCGATGTGACCATCATGGCAGTGAGTTCACTCATTGATTGTGCCAACTTTTCCACGTTTCGCTGTAGCCCATCAATGTCGGTTTTGTCTGACGTCACGGCCCGACTTCTCATGAGCTCGCCAGCTGCTGGCAACTTCCCTTCCATGAGAAGCGTTGCTTTCTCTACTCGCTTGGCTTCTGCCACTGCATGGTCAAAATCAGGAATATCCGCTTTTAAAACATCCAAGCGGAACTCTTTTTTCAGACCCATCACCCAATAACGCCGAAGAGCATTGATGGGAACTCCATCCCCATCAAATGCTTCCCGTTCAGCATGCAAGCATCTATACCGTTCTGCATAGGAGGCCACAGATTCGTCCTCCACTTGTTTAGGGTCATGCAGAGCACACTCAATCTGCTCCAAGTACCCAGGGGCTCTGAATCTTGCAACAAACGCAGCCTCAAATTCATTCCATGTACGCTCATTATCTTCCCAATGAGCGGCCCTACTATTGTACCATGTTTCCGCCTCCTGTTCAAATACTACTGCAGCATTAGCAATCTTTGCTGCTGACGTGTCCCAAGCGTTGCTTCTTGCCACTCTCAAAAAGTGCTTCACCCACACCCCTGGGTCCTCACCCCTTCCAGTGAATGGGCGGGCCTTTGGCTTGACACCACGCATCATATTGCCTTATAATGTACTGAACACTGTCACATGGGCCGCTCGCGTCCTGCCACGTCGCTCGCTCGATACCAGCAGTGACGCTCCACCGTATCAGCGCGATGTGTCACCTTGTAGGATTACACCGTCGGCTGACACAAGCTGACACAATCTGACACGAGCTGACACAAGCTGACACAAGCCGCTGTCCTGCTGACTCCTTGTCACGCAATCCTCGCTGTGGGGACGTGTGTGCTGTGTGGCAAACACGTGATTCCTTGGACACCTCAGCAACTGCAATGAATCGCTGACACCGTCGCAGCACAGCGCGTTGTACTGCTCCAAGCCGTAGCACAGCACTACGAGAGTGGTGCCGCACTGCGCTTCGACCTTTGGGAGGAGGTTCAATCAGTCAGCGAATTGATCCCCTTGGCGGCGGCTGAGCCACTCTGCTACGGCGCACCAGTGGCACGTTGTTGCACTGCCCGTTGGACTCACTCGCAACGTACGATTCTCTCCGTATTCGAGTCAGCAGTGGAAGCCTTGACACAAAACTGACCCCCACGCCTAGCGACAGCTGATCGTCGCTGGTGGTCTTGCCAAAACACTCCAGAAGGGCCACACAAAATGGACTCTGGGCCGCTGAAGTCCCGTCGTAACCAACCGTTCGATGGATGTCTTGAATCTTCGATCCCAAAAAGTTTCTCGGAGACGCCGCCTGGGCAACGTAGAACTCTAGTGCTCTCGGCGCTGAGTCCGCCCCAGGTTGCAACAAGCTAACCTGGTCCGTGTCTCGACTTGCACACCCCCTGCCTCGGGTGCCAAATGACGAAGGCAGGCAGGGTCGAGGGGTGGCGATCCCTGAACGGGAATTGTACGCTCGAGTCCACGGCAACGGTTTACAGCCGAGGCAAAAGGACAACAGACGTTCTGTCCTTTATACCCAGTCCGTTCATCAACATCCCTAATGCAATCCTTAGTGCTTCGTCATCTTTTCATACATTCAGTTATTAATAACACTCAATCAGTTCTAGCCATAACAGCGTGCATACCGCTGCGGCGGTGTGGGTCACCGATGCCCTGACGACTACGTTGCAGCAATGATTATGCACAGTCGTTGCTGTCCTGGTGTTCTTGGCGTCGCTGGCTGAGCGTCGCTCCATGGGAAGTGCTGCAAACTTGCTACGAACGGCATCAATAACGAAGCGCATCGATAGCTGGGAAAGGCCAAGCTCCGAAAATCAAAAGCTCCCGCATTGTGCTTTGTCAGCACCAGAGGCAGGTGCCCTTCCTCGATCACATCGAATGAGAAAATAATCAGCTTATTTTGCTTGTTTTGCTCCAGGTCTCTGGGGGCTCCGGCAGCCTGTGCCACAAAGCAATCGAGCTGAAAAACGAGGCCATCGGCTGCATTGACGGGTGCGGGCATCGACTGGCGGTGGGCACGATGAAGGCCACGCTAGCGCTCTACAAGTAAGCTGTGCTCTTCCTGTCATACAGCAGCAGGGCACTCGTATAGCTTGTGATGCTTCTCATTGCAATTTCCATTGTCTGCGAGGATAACCAGCCGAAAGAGACACTATGCTCACGAAATGGCTCTCTACCACAGTGGTAAATTGCCATCATTAAATGGTCCATTCTTTGTAAGCGAAGATGCTGAGCGTGTCAAACAACGCGCATCGATCCCCCGAGATGTGTTGTCGAGTTCCTTTTCCACTTTGAGCAAAATGATAGAGGTACATTTCGCTGCGAGGGGCAAAAGCAACGCCTTGGGCGCGAGTATTTCTAATGCAGCACTGATCTGGATGCGATGGACACGCCACTGAAGAATTGTAATGTGCGGAAGTGCGTTTCTTATGGCCGAATCATAATCACCTCTCTTGCCGAGTTCAGAAAACTTAGGGTACTATCAATGACTAGCCAGTGATACGATGTTCACCCTACAATTGCGTAGCTTGTTCCCCTCGCGTCTCCCTCCGATTGCGTGTTGTGTATTTTGCGGCATCTTCCGTTGATTTGGCTTTGCCATGCATTTGCGCAGTATGCCTGGAAAATCGTGGCTGAAAATGGACATTTTGTCCTTGACATCATTAAAGGCTCGATGCTGTGGGCATCTCCGCGGAAGACTCCTTTGCAAGCTGCTGCAACATCTGCCCTATAATCGAACGGCCGTCTCACGTGTGCCGAGCGGCGTTGTTGAATTTGCCGCGTCCACACATTCACCAGCGCTGTTGAAAGCACAGTACGCGCATATCAACTTCGCTGTGCCTTCGTGAGCCTTGCGCCCGGAGCTGCTTCAACGACCGACACCTTTGCAGGACACAAGATCGCCAGTCCTGGCTGCTTGAGAGCTTGATCGAGTTGGATGGGGGCGTCACCAGCATGCAGTTCGACGCGGCCACTCGGGAGGGCATCGTATCTACAGACACCGCCAGGGTGTGGTACCTCACCCTTCCGAACAAACCGGAGGTGCCCCTTGTTTCGGGCCATCCAGGCCCCATCACAGCCCTGTGCTCAGCCTCCAACGACAGCCAAGCGCTGGCATCTGTCGCGGCTGACGGGGCTCTCAGACTGTGGCATCTACATAAGGTGAGCGTTTCATACACACCCTACGCGTTTGCGTATTTCAAATACACATGCATGCGTATACGGGCATGGGATATCATTCAATGGGCCGTGTTCTGATTGTTTAGCATGACACCTCATTCCTCCGATGTGAAGTATTTTCAGGAATTGAACGCTGCTGACTGCTGCAAATTTTTGTTGTCGTGTATCGTGCCTTGTCTGCAGCGATTGGAGCAGCAATGCGGCAATATAATGTACATAGCATATACTGCTGTATGTAGTGTACTGTATATAGTATACTGTATACACTATATACTAGTATATAGCTTAGTACCCGCCTGCCTCTGCATTTATTTTGAAAAGGGAAATCACTGCTCTCAATTGCCGTGCGATCCAGGCAACACTCACGGTGGAATTCCACCCCGTTGAGCGGTGCACGTGTTGCGATATCTCCCCCTCCGGAGAATGCATTGCTGCGGGCTGTGAAGATGGAACTCTTCGAATCTTTGATGTGCTGCAGCCCGGCGCCAAGTGGTCTGCTGTGCGCCATGGCTGCTCAATCATAGGCGTCATATTTTCAGCCGACGGCCAAAAGCTCGCTTCACTCAGCAGGTGCGACGCAGTCAATCCTGGTGGATGATTGTCGCAGCTGCATGCCCATGCACTGGAAGAATGCGTGCAAGATGCCAGCGCCACAACCAGTGGCTTCGGTTCCCGGACAACTGCAGTTCACCATGGGCGATTGACGCTCGAATGGCCACAGCTCGAATGAACACATTTCGCATCATCTGGTTGGTTTTCACGCCCATCATATCCAACCAGGTGCACGGGCTGTGTTTTGTCATTTTGTGACAAATGTAATCCATGGATTTTGATGATTTCGCATCATAGCAGAAGCGGTGCGATTTCGACATTGGCTGCCTGTGTGGTGCTCACATCCTACTTTGGATGTTGCAGCAATGGCAACGTGGCAATATCCGAAACAGAAACTTCTCGAATCGTTCGGAGCGACGAGGCGGGTAGCTCCAACCTAGTGTCCATGTCGGCCACGTCTGACGGCAGGACTTGTGCGGCGGCTTGGGCCAGTGGCCTCGTTGTCTTCAGCATGCCCTGGGACGACCCGGGCGGCAACCCGAGGGCCACCTATGTGTGCGGGCAGGTGGGGCCCTCAGGCTTACTGTCACTGAACATCACCATCGCCTGGTCTTCAAATGTACTTTCTTTGCAAAATCTTAGGACGACGTTTGGCCAATTTCTAGCGCCCTCCAGAGGTGGGACAAAATCGTTGTTCTTGAGGATTGTTAGTCAAAGGTTCTGGGACCAATCTATCTGAAGTGGTGTTCTTTGATTTCGCGGCCGTTCTGATAATGAAATCCGTCTCTCAAACAGGGGACATGCAATTCCGGACGCAGGGAGTACAGCCGTTTGCTTGTCATTCCCCAGCGCGTCACGCGCCAGCCTTGTTGCGCACATCTGCAAATTGTTCGTGGCGGACTTGGGGGTTGGGCGTTGCCGCTGACCTGTGAGTTGGCCCTTGTGTTCCTGCGCGCCTGCAGGGGGGCGACTGTCAAGACGCGTCGGCGTGTGTGGCATTCTCGCCAGCCTACCCCCACGCTGTCCTTTTCAGCACTGCACTGATCCCGGGGAGAGTGGTGTGCTTCGACTATCGCCAAAACAAGGTCGTCAGGCACGTAGACCTTCCAGGCGGCGTCGTGGCCTCTCTCGGCGCCTCTCCCAACGGCGTCTGGTTTGCTGCGGGGTCGCAGTCGGGCGCCGTCTTTTTGGTGGACTGCGCGAGCCAGCAGTGGAAGGAATTGGGAGGGCACCGGCAGCGGGTGGCTGCTGTCCAGTTCTGCGCTTGCAACACCAAATTGGTGACGGCAGGGGGGGCCGTCATGATGGTGAGGAGGCTTGGAGAGGGGTGGTGATGGTGGCGGTGGTCTTCAACGCTCGATTGTCGTACTCACCGATGTCATGCGCACGGAACTGCGTGGCCCTTCCAGTCGGTACGCTGGGAAGCGCGAGGTGTGGAAAGCACATTGACAGGTAACCGGGGAGGAACACTTCAGAGCCACCTCGAGTGAGAGCGGCCATTGACCAGAGGGGTCTTGTGAAGCCGCGGGTCGCCCTGAACATGGGTTCAGCCACCTTTGCCAATGGCTTCGTCGCCGGGGTGTGCGCACGGGGCCCGCAGGGCAAGGCTTAACCGAAGCGCGGCATTCCTCACGCTGCCCCAACGTACAGTTCGGTGTGATCGCCCCCCGATGGGCGTGCAGCCAACGATCCGCTGCCCACGGTGTCTGTGATAGGCGACCCTTTCCATTTAGATCTCTGCATGTTGGCCCGCACAGCAGTTTCGACGAAGCCAAAATGAGTGGACGTTTTCGTCTCCAGCGAATAACGGTCAGCAAAGCTGCAGCGAACGCGCAGCGGACTGTCGCCAGACTCTGGCGTCCAGGCGCTCAGGATCAAGTGAGACGATACGCGTTCAGAATGCTCCACGCACTTGATCGACGCCCCACTGCCTCGGCGATCTAGCCATCCACAGGGGTGACAAGTGCGATTTGCATCACGACCCGGTAACGCGGTCTCGCTCTTAGCTCGGAAGCAGAGCTTCAGATCATGCGAGGGATTCAGCATGGGACCGCGCAACCCGTAGAAAGGGCTAAAGAGACGTTGCTACATAGAACTTGTAGACACGGCATCAGCATGTTTTATGCGCCACATTTAGAGAAGCACCTGGCGACAATACATCACTAGCCCTGTTCCCGCTCCCCTCCCTTCCACGGTTAAGTCACGATATGGTGACGCGCTCCACTTGTGTGATGGCAAGGGTTGCCGTCACCATGGCCACCTGCAGCAAGGCACAGCGCCCATCAAAACAAGATACAGCAGACGTTACAATGCGCGCAAGGGCCAATGTTCTGGGTGCTGAGCACAGTTCTGCTCCTCTCACGATTGTGACCGCTGACCATCCACATTCTAACCAGGGTCGGGTACGATCAGTCGCTGCGAGCTTACTGTTTGGGCTATTGCGGCAACATCATCCTCGACTGGCACGGCACGACTTTGCAAGGGACATTTGGACCCCCTTTGTTCAAAACTGCTGCCTTGCCTCACCGAAAAGACACTGCATCAATTGTGAACAAAATTATTCGAAAGACATCTACCAAAATCTGCACTCAAATCCTTGCTATATCACTTTTGTTCTCAATTGACCTGATGTGGCCATGTGCCCATCACCACCACCCAAGGCAATTTGCACCATTCACGTATCCTCACCTTGCAAATCGCCATGCAAAGTCTACATCGCTTCTTCCTTCTCGATCATGCAGCAGCCAATCCTTGCTCCAGCGTTTCCAGTGACCAGCGAGCCCTCATCCCCACCTCGTCCAAGGTCATCTTCACCAGCGTGGACAACAATGGACTTGCCGATAATGGAAACTTCGGAGGAACTCAGGGAGATGATCTTGTCGAAGATTTTGACCCTGTGTCAAACGTCCCTGTTAGATCAAACGCTCGGGTGGCCAAGAAGTGCCAAGGCTGCTTCTCGATGGAGACAATGCAAAAATTCCTGGATGTAAAGGGCACTTGGCACTTCGATTGCTTTGAGAAGCGGCGCTGCGGTGAAGAGCAGGCCACCGCATACAACAAGCACAAAGCAACCCTCAAAGGCCCACGAACAAACAAGAAACCATAACACCACTTACGGACAAGCCCAGCTGTGCTGCTAGCAACATTAGCATGGTATGGCACTGGTTAAATGGACAAAAATAGACGACGGCTTCACAGCAAGCAGAGCTAAGTACTGTCAATGTTTGTGTGAAGAGGTGGCGCAGCGGCAGCCGATGTTCTGAAGTTCTCTGCAGTGAAGTCCCAGTCGCCGCTCACTTGGAAACTCCGTATTTGTCGCTGGAGATGTTCCCAAGGTCACCGACATGGCGCTCCAAAGACCTGGGGGAGCCGTGGGTGGCGTTGAAGGGGTTGAAATGGCCGCCCGTGGAGCTGCAGTTCCCGTCGGTGATGGGCAGACCGTGCACGTGGAACCCGTGCTTGGCGTTGGACCCCAGGCCCCTCACAAAGCCTGGGGCAACCAAAATAAGCTAATCGTGAGCATCGCTGCAAGGGCGTTAGGTCCTGATCCGCAGTGCACGCCGTTGGGCAACCCTGTGTTTATTGATTTATCGACTGGACCACAAGGATGACAGAAAGTGCACCAATTGCGGTATTTCCTTTTTTTTTGGTTCTTTGATTTGGGTTACGCAAAATACTGCACCACACTGATGATTGCTGCGATGGAGACGCAGTCCCGTTGAGTCAACAGGTATTTTCTGACGTTTTGGAGGAATTCCAGTTTGATGAATTAACATGCGCTTCCGATGAAGAACTGGCAGCTGAGAGTGAAGTCGCTAAGTCGCTCAGTCGCTTAGGACTAACCGACATTGATTGGGTCACAGGCCACACTGGGCTTTCAGGGACGAAATTCCTAGGCAGCAAATAGTTGCGTAGAGTAATGCAATGAATACGTTTCGCGACGGCATTGACGATCGTTGAGAGTTAGCACCGCAGATGGGACACCAGTGAGCCTCTGGAGAGGCGAGGATCCCATCGTGAGTGCGGCAGCACATCATTGTGCCTGTCAAATTTTTGTTGCTGGCCCAGTAACGTTTTGAGGATTCGTTGTTGCCGAAGCAATGGCATCTGGCAGGATCAGTGGGCATTGCAGTCCGGTGATCATGCTCATGATTTGGACATGATTGTGGCAAGTCGCGTGTTACCAATCCCTTGCAGGACGGTGCGAGCAATCTGCTGGGTCGACAGTGGCGGTCAATCAACCTGCGCTCCACCAGCGTCCACGCCACTAAAAACAGCCCGTCAGTTGGAGCCATCACCCGTGCACTTCACGCTCGCACCAGCATCAATTTCCGCGGATGACAGACCGGGCGGATGACAGCTTCCCCGTCCGCGAGAGGCCCATCCCGACGGCATGTGGCGGGGTGGGGGGGGGTGCTGGGGCGGCGCGTACCAAAATGTACCCCGCCGAAGTCCGTGCACACCCGCAGCTGCACGGGCGCCCGCTTCAACCGCCCGCGCGACGGGCAGCCGCGGCAGTGCCGTACAGGCGCCGCGACTTTGGGCCCGCGACAGGGATTCTGGGCTGCGAGCCCACAGTAGAGACTCGTCCAAGGATAGCCGCACGGATGTACACCCAGGATGGCGGGACACATCGCGCCCGCCAAGGGTGGGGAATGCGCCAGAGCGTCCTCGAAAAGAGCGCCGGCGACAGCATCTGCACTCAAGCGCGCTTTGGCGCTCGATCTCAGTCGTGGACCGGAGATTCCAGCCCTGGCTCGCGCAGCGCCGCCGAGAACCGCACGGCGAGCTGGCATCAAGTGCCCGCCCGCGTGGTCGCCGGGCGAGGCGCGGTTTACCTTCGACCGTAACAAATCCGCTCCCGGCCTTCTCCGTGAACACGATGATGCCCTCCGCGGGGCCGTTGGCCAGCACGCACGTGGCCGTCAGGGCCTCCTTCTGGTCCCCCTGGCCGAGCGCCCCTCCCGCGAGGAGCAGCGCCAGCAGCGGCGCCAGGCTGGCGGCTGAGATCTTCATGCCTTGCTTTCGGATGGGGGGGCCCGGGACGGGGAGGGGTGCGGGTGCCGGTGGGTGGACACGTGTGTTGCAGGGCGGAACCTCGGTGCTAGAGCGGACTAGGGTTGCGGTTGTCTTGGCCTAGTCGGGGGCTTATATCTTGGGGCTCGAAGCTTGGGGCACCACGGAAGTGTACCCTCATGGGAGGGGGCGAAAACCGTGCGAGTCCGTCGGGCGCTCCCCACGTCAGGGGGGCGCGGTAACATACGGCGACGTGGCGGGCGGCGCCGGCAACCTGGCCCTTCACCACGCGTATTCGTGCCTTGATTCCTCCTCGTAGGGCATCGGAGCCCCATCAGGCGATCACGTGAAGCAGGGCCGACTCGCCAGTGCAGTGACAGGAGGTGCGGGCGGGCACCACGTCACGTGTGAGTCGCCATAACACCATCGCAATTGTCTCACTCCTCTCAAAACCATGCCCAGCGTCATCCACTAAACGACGGCATGATTATCAGAGCTAACGCAAATGAAAGCCAAAAACATGGGCCCTGAAATTGATGATCATTGCATCCCATAGCACTTACATGTCTTCCCCTTCAGTACGCGCTCTCACCTGCCCCCCCAACCACTCCAGGTATCTGGCAAAATTGAGTCACCACACCCTATCAAAACCCGGTCAAAAGCGCCAGGGCAACGCCCATGTCATCCTGACCGGTGCTCTACCTTTGCACCTCAGTAAAACATCAAGTGTTTGCTGCCACGCCACCCCCAAGTCACGAACAAAGATGGCAAAGTCACCTACTAAGTGCTGGTGGCGCCACGCCCATCACGGCGGCATGGTGATTGACACTGCCACTCTTTGCAATTCGCAATCACCTTGTTATGCACGTACCCCTTCATCATCAACGCCCCCGGCGCCCCATAATGAGTGGCACCCGCCGCGAGCACCAACGCACACCGAATTCCAGCACTCAATTCCACGGATTCTGAGTGAGGGTCGCACACATCACAAAGCGACTCTGAGAGACCCACCCAAAAGGCAGCGTGGGCCTTGCGATCACCTGCCGTGTTGTCACCTCTGCACGCCCATCATCGCACAGCCACACGGGCAAAAAGGAATGTATTGCATGCCCCCAGGACTTCAGTCATTGGCCCCTGCCCCACTGGGGTGGACAGCGCCATACTTGTATCTGGCGGGCACGAGATGGCATGCCCGTCTCTCACCACGAACGCACGCGTCCACTCAACCCGAATGTCCGTCTGTCATTTCCCCATCACTTCTCACCCCGCGTCATTTCGCATCGCACCCCGCCACGCATCACTTCGCATCCCGCGCCACCGCGGCGCATCATCCCCCTACCTCGCGCTTCAGCGCGCTGCACCACGCGGGTCGCCCACTTCCTCCGTGCCATCGGCCCATCAAAACCCGCGCCAATGCCAGCCTCACGTAATGCTCCAAAACCGCCGCTCCATCAGGCCACCGGGTGCCGGCGACTGCTGTGAAGGGCGTGGGCGCCGTCCTTAGTAATGCACAAGAAAACGACGCCATCACAAGCCCCGTCCCGTGCCGCCTTGGGGCAAACAGCCAGCGCCCTCATTTGGTGACCAAAACACAAAAGTTGCCAACATATGTTGGTCATTTTGTGGGAACTCTAACACTTCCCTTTCCAGTCGACGCGGGGGACCAGTTGAGCGGTCTATTGAGCGGAGGAGGGGCTGTTGAGCGCTGTATCGATCGGAGGAGTGTGGAGTCGGTCGGGAGTTCAAAGAGCGCATGGGAAGACAAAGCGTGACGACATTACACCAACCGCGGTGTATTTCGCGGTGAGCTTCCGTGCTACAAGTCCAACTTCCGCATCGAAGTCATGACACAACGGTCCTCAGGGGGTGAGGCGAATGACGCGCAGCTGTGAAAGGGCCTAAAGAAACAGTCAGACAATGGTGTCGGGCAAAGGGGAGTTGGCTTACAAGCAAGCGGCGGTGAGACCCGAGCATTGGATGAATGCGCAAGGCATCACGAGAACGTGAGTCCCCAGTTCGATGCAGACATCAGAAAACTGCCATGGCCCAAAGCTCGGTCCAGTTATTAGCTAACAACTATAGTGAGCTCAACAATTGATGTCATAAGTTATGGACATTTGCAGTCCAGAAATTGTGACAAACTAGCTCCATTGCTGCAACGGAAAGCATTTGACTGCAGCAGTCACCCGCCGTACGCCGTTTTTGGGTTTGCCAAGTCATCAGTCTGAGTAATGCACTCTAATGAGCCCGGCATGAGATGGCGAAAGTAGAAATGATGAGGCGACCTCCACTGATCATCAGCTGACGTCCGTTCGCACAACAACAAGCAATTAAAGAATGGAAATTCCATAAGGTAACGGCCATTATTGCCACCAGTTCTGAACATGCCACCTCCACACTCACCAGGAACCCCTTCGACACTCAGTATTACTGAGTCAGCAAGGCACGGCACTGTCAAGAGAACGTAGCCACAGCGCAAAGAAAGAGCTGCGGCATAAAGGCGCGCTGGAGAAGCGAAGCGCAAGGCTAGCTCGTGTCAATTGCAGGAATGCTCCAGGCTGGAGAGGATTCACAGTCAGGGCATACACAAAAGGTTGTCAGCAGAATTTTACAGAAGTAACGTTCGTGTGGGCAGAAATCCAAAGCAAGGTCAATCTCAATGCAGCGTTGCGGGGTCACAGCCGATATACACACAGGAGCACCAACGGCTTGCAGAAATATGTGACTGATGATGCCAGGCTTGTTATTGACGCCGTGAAAACTGATCGTTTATGTTTCCACGGTTAACAAATGTTTTAACGTTTTACACGCAAAAAGGCGTAAAACTGTATAAATGCAGCTTAAAGGCAGCCTCATGTACATAAATACAGAGCACACAGAGATGCGGAGTCCGGGAAGTGGCAGCCAGACGCACTGGAGTGGGCAAAACACGAATTGTTTTTCGACGACGTCATTACTCTTGCCAAAGTCGCTATATTCCATATGCTACAGGAGGCGGAGGACTGAACATTCTACGTGACTATTATCGTGTAACCTGGTATGCGCAAAAATGTAAAAGCATCGGTAAAAATAGACTCCTTTGCAAATGTACATTATTGCGCATAAGAACGTACTTCCTCCGTCCCAATTAAATTGCAGTTATGATCTATGGCCCTAAAGACCCCACTAAGACATCTCAAAATTTCACCAAAACTTGTCATAATATTAAAATTTAGGATTAATTTACGCTCACAAAATTTTAGGTTAATCGATGTTGTGGTAAATCCGTAGTGCCATTTTGAGCAGACTCTACTTTTCTGGAAACACCCCAATTTTTCAAGGTGGCGCCGAAAACCCCTGTTTCCGGGCACTGGACCATGTTACGTTGCGGTGGCCCCCTCGAAGCGAAACGACATGAGCTGGAGACGCGCTTCAGTCTGTATGTCAGAGCAGAGATATAGAGGCAGAAGGCAGACTGCCGGCGCATTGCGAAAATGCGCGATCGAAGATTCGAGTCTATGCGCCGAACAATTGAGACCATCGGTAAGCCGTTCCGGTGTGTTAAAAACAATCCCGCCGGAAAGAACTTGCCCCATGTATGGCAAGGAGACTGCGGATGTCCCAAGACACGGTGGGATCATTTTGCAACGAAAGTCGAAAAGATTGCGGCTCACAACCGGGGCACAATTCGGGGAATAGCGATTAGGACAAAAGACAGGCGAGATCCTCAATCATTCCTTTCAGGACGAGTTGGCGGCCAGCCCTCCAGTTTTGCATCTCTTCTTCAACCTGCAATCTGAAGCACATCTCTAAGGTGCGTCACTTCGCGAGATTGGGAGCATCACAAGGGGGTATGGTCCACGGCCCGAAAACGGGCTATTCTTGGAGCCACCTTGAAATGCTTGGCTGAGTGAGGTATGTTAACGATGGCACTGCGGACTGGATATTTAGGCGATCAACTCAAAACTTTGAGGGCACAAACTACACCCAAATTAGAACATTAATAAAAAATTGTGAAAATGTGGCATGTTTTGGTAGTTCTTTCGGGCCAACGGTTCATCATTGCAATTTACTTTGGGAAGGAGGAAGTAATTCCAGAAACATCAACATAAACGCAAGAAACAAGCCTGAGTGGTGCTGCGCGTTGCAGAGCGATATCAAGCGTATTAGTACCCAAGAAAGGAGTATCTCGGCGGGAGGGTCCATGGATGGAGCTGGCAAAAGTTGGATGCTCGAAATGCAAATGCCGTGGCTGATGGATTGTGTGCAGTTTGATCGCGGCCCCGTCTCCGATTTCCATCACGTCACTTATCGAAACCTTTGTAATGAACCTGAAAATCGCGCAAGGAATCGACAGAACTCCCCGCGCAGGTCTTTCAATTCAGGGATCCCTTCCCTGTCCGGACAGGGAAGGGTTTCGATCGCCGTGGAGCACACCATGGATGGCATCGGATTCACAGAAATATGACACCAGAAAGCCTGGAAATTCGCAGCGGCAGTAGCTCTCTGAGATGGAGATGATTAACAAGTTTACGTCCACAAAGGTGCGGATATCTTGCTCCAAGTGATGGCTGGGAAATGTCCAGAACTGTAGGACACCGTAGAATGAAAATTTATCTGGCGCATCATATCATATTTCGTTCGTTTCACAGGCACTGACAGTTCTGCCATTGCGCAGCTATCAGTCAAGTTGTCCCACTCGCCAATAAAAGATCTGCATATATGGGCCGCGTGGCCGATGTACTTCTACATGTAGAAGTGTATTTTAACTCTCAAAATGAAATATTCAAACAGTACTCTGTGAGAATGATACATGCTTGATATTTGCGCGACGCTGCGACAATAGCGCCAATTTGGAACTAGAAGATGCCGTGCTGAGTGGAACTTTTCACATTTCGCACCGTTCCATTCCGTGCCACAATAGAATTCATTGCAGGAAATCGTATTTCACTGTCAAAGGATTCCCAGCAATGAAATCCTGCCTGTTGCGATCTCTTTTCTGGACTAATGTTGGATAGATTTTGACGCAATGGTCATCCGATTGCTCTGAAAACTGTAGAGCAAGCCAAATTATTTGCATTGCGACACTACATCTTGTGCTGTGAGGGGCTCAAATTTCCGATTGGATCACCCATCGATGGGGGCGATATCGCCATAGATCTGAACGCATGTGCCGCTCACCAAGTCCCTTGTGATACTTTTGCTTTCGGGACTTCGGAGCCAGCGTCACGTATTGCGCCTGCGCCTGGAAACATGCACCCAAAAGTACGTTCGTTGAGCGTAGAAAATCACCTTGGCATTGTCGAGGATTCCTGCTCCTGAGCATGCAGTACAATTACTGGAACAGCTGTGAATGATTTGACGCACACGATGCAGCCTTTTATAGCCGCAGCTAAGTGTAGCAAGAGAGCTAATCCCCACAGCAGCCGTGACGCAACAAGATGAGTCCGATGCGGCGCTTGGCGGCATATGATGAGGGACAAAAGAGTATTACATTATTGGATGTGTTCACGCCCGTCCTCGCCCCCCAGCTGCAAGGTCCCAGCATTGTATTTTGAACAGACGAATTTAGAGGCGTCTGATTTTCATTCAACGTCTCCAAAATCCTGGCCGCACTCCGCTGCGCACCCATGATTGCGGGGCTGCACACGGATCTTGCATGGAGCGCACGTGCGCTGAACTTTATGCGGGTTGAAGTTCAAGGATCTCTGGAAAGCGTAGGGCCTTGTGCACACAAGCCACAATGCGCGCCATACATGTGCGCCACTGTGCGCGCTGCCGTTGACCCCACACATGCACGGCATTGCGCACACTAGCACATGGGCGTGCACCTACAAGCCGGAAAGTCTTCGTCAGTCGCGAAAAGGATCTGCTGCACTTGCGGGTGAACTTGATTCAGAGTTGTGTTCGTTGCGAGCTGTTTGGCGTATTGTGAGGCATGCCCAGCACCTTTGAACGTCGCCACCCATAAGTGCGATTATGCTTGCTTGACCTGTGAATACGTGATATCACGTATCGCCGTGCAAATCGATTGTACGGCGCCGGTGACATAAACACGAGCCTGGATCCTGGCACATGAGCACATTGTGTCTCACAGTGCCACTGTGCTTTCGGGCTGACCTGTGTGAAGTGCCAATTGGCGTTCGTGACCAGGATGTCCCACTGCGGGGCTGTGTTGTGGAAGAAGAGCACAAGAAATGTGCGCCTGCCGGCAGCTAGGCCCAGCGACCGCATGGAATGCGGGCATTGCCCTCCGATCAGTGTCCGATGTTTCATGCAGTTGCAGTGGTGGACAGCGGCTGCCCATCATCATTTGATGCATACAGATGGATGGCCATTGGCTGCCGCGCATTGCCAAAGATGAGGCCCTCTTCCCAGCCAAACGAAGCACCAACATCAGTTACGTCCAACGTTCTTTCTGTAATGATAACGGGAATATTAGTAGCTGCGAATACTGCCAGCCGCCTTGCAGCTGTACTTTTCTGCGTAGGTGTCTCCAATACACAAGTGGAAGCGTCTGTGACCCCAGGGTCCCGGACGTCGCATGGCTATCGAAATGCGTCGCCACAAGAGTTCACAGGATGGTCGGTAAAGCGGCTCGAATGTCTGGTTGTTTCATTTCAGCGGAGACACTCTGAGAGCGCGCGCGCATGGACAGCGTGTACTGGAGACTCCAACACCACAAGCGTCTGCGACCAAGGGCCCCCTTGTGCCGCACTTCCATAGAAAAATCCAAATAATCGGCCATTGGTGTCACTTTCGCTGATCCGTCCCATGACCAAGCATGTGGTGACTTGGGCGCTGCCGGCCTCGCGTCCCAATTACGGCTGCCCCCCTGTCCCTCGTACAGATCTGTCCAGGATTGCCGAGCACCGCTCCTGTACGTACTCTGGGGTGCGGTACGCCCAACCCCTCCCCATCCGTCGGGCACCGGGACACCAGTGATCTTCCCCCACACGTGCATGCCATGGCCCCTATCTTCCCACCCAGGGCGCCCAGAACCTGACGCGCCGCGCCAGGGGTCGCGCAGTACACTGAACATACGATGATCCGCGCGGAGGCCCAGCGCAACAAAGTCGAGCCGGGCGCGGCAAGCCCAGCCGGCCTGCTAGCTAAGCGCCGCTGCCCGCGGGAGGGCGACGGAAACGGGCGGGCCCGCTCCCTGCCCGCCTCGCCAATAGGATCCGTCCGCCGAGGAGGGGGAGGGGAGCGGAGAGCGCGGGAGGGCGCGATTGATCTGCAAATCGCCGAAGTGCCGGCGACCGCGGCGGCGCGAGTGTGCCCCCGACCCATCGCGCTGGCTCCGAGGGCGATCGACGGCGTCGCGGCGCACCGGCGGGGCCATGCACGCCTTCGACGCGCTGCAGTCCCGCTCGGGGAGCCCCTGCGGCGGCGGGCCCGCCCCGGGGGAGGCCCCCGCGCGGAGCATGGCCGTCCTGCTGAGTAAGAGGGCCGTCGCCTGCCGGGTGGTGCTAATGTACGGCGCCATCTCGGCGCTTGTCGTGGCGCTGGCCCTCCTGGGCGGCCGCCCCGGCCTGTTCGCCGCCTTCGGCGTGCTGGTGGTGGCCATTCCGCACATCTTCCGGGGCGCCGCGTTGCTGTACGAGCGGCGGCCCGTGCTGGTCGTGGACGCCGAGTCCGGCCTCTCGATCCGCCGCCCGGCCCTCCTAGGCGAAAGATTCGCGCCCTTCGGCCCCGAGGTGCGCGTGGCATGGGACGAGATCGACCGGTGGGAGGCGTGCTCGGTGATCGACCCGTGTGGGCTGCCGCCGCGGGACGGCGTCCTCAAGGTGTACCTCAGGGACGCGGGGGGCTTTGTTGCGCGCCAGGGCCTGCTGTGGGGCCGGCTGAGGTTTTGGTGGAAGGGGCTTCGGCACGGCACGCCTCTGGTGGTGTCGGACGCAGTGTTGAGGGACAGCAGCCGGGCGGTTGCGCAATTCATGGACGCCGCGAGGGGTGAGGGGGAGGGATGCCCGCCCCAGGTCCCGTCGCTCGTGGTGGAGCGATGAGTGGGCGGGTGGGTAAAAGTGTGAGGTGGTGGGAAGTGTGAGGACAGAGGGGGGAGTTCGGGGCGGAACCGACGGCGGGTGGGAGGGCGTGTTGTTGCGAACGAGGCCCGACGAACGATTTGCGTGGGTATTAGTAAAGCGGGGCGCAAAGGGGTGTCGGTTAGTCAGTCACTGCGGGAATGGGGCCGTGAGGCGACCGTGGTTGGGGGGGGCAACGCAAAGTTGTGCGCAATGGGGTGGGGTGGGTGTCGTTACTTGGTTCTGCCTGCTTCAATAGAATTTGGCCGGAGTTTCCGATCCATTGCGCATATTGGGATGGTGGGCGCAGACCAATGGGGCGCCCAGCGGGTGTTCAAAGCCCACTATATGCTTTGTATGCAATCATGTGTTGTACATGCAGTAGCGATATAGAATTCGAGCCCACACATTGGTGGTGGCTATTTTGCAAACATGAACGTGTTCAACAATCAATCTTCTGTGCCTGCATCAATACTTCACACAACTGCAATGAACGCTCATCCAACCCACTCTCCCTCTTCCCCCTTTCCTCCTTCAACTGCCAAGCTCCAATGAGGCACTGTTTGTCTACACTGTACATGTTTCCACCAACAACAATGAGGACACAGCCAAGACCTCCTACTGTGTGTCCGTATCGTACATGCGTCAACCAATATCCCTCCTTCAACTGCCAAGCTCCAATGAGGCACTGCTTGTCTACACTGTACGTGTTTCCACCAACAACAATGAGGACACAGCCAAGACCTCCTACTGTGTGTCCGTATCGTACATGCGTCAACCAATATCAAAATTCCAACGTTGCATGCGCCGTTGATTGATTGCCATCCCCTTAAATTCCTCCCCTTGGGGTGAACTTGCCGTGTAGTGCGGTCAAACGCACGTTGCAGTTTCTGCGTCCGCCTCAAGCTTGCCTTGCACGATCTGACGCTCTTTCCCACCCTTGTCTATCTGCTTACACCTTGCTCCCCCACCTGTCGTGCATGCCGTGCAGTTGGTCTCATGGCACCCACACTATCACGTGTAAACCACCTCATCGAATCCTTGAATCTCAGAGGGAGCGGAGCAGCCGGAGTACGTGAGGTTTCTGAGTTTCGACACGTCCTCAACAATGCCTATGTCAACTGCCTTCTGAACCAGGCGATTCAGGGTGGCCTGTGACGCCACCTGCGTCGAAAAAAAGCCGAATTCATGCGTCCGACAACTTGTTGAGTGTAAAGCGTGCGGTCAGCGACGCCGGATCCCAGCCCCGATTCTATCGATTGTCACATCACATATTGTTGATTGCTACCTGAAGATACATCAGGAAGCATTGAGCTACCTGCAAACTCAAAACAAGAATGGGAACACAACGACAACGCCAGAGGGAGGATGACCCTTCCCCTGTTATTCGAGCAGCATGGCTTCTACCCACCCTGCCAGTAGTGGACCCATTCTGTGGGCCTCATCCATGGCCAGCTGCGCGGTTTGCGAACGCAAGAATCGCACCACAGAGGGCATTGGCTCCTCGTCGACTGCTTGCCAACACACGAGCACACGAAATGCCGTGGCAACGCGATCATACCTGCAAACACACCGCCAGACCAATGTGCTACGATATCCGCAACAAGGTTCCACCCAATCTCGAATACAAAGCCGTCGAAAGTCGTTCAGTTGTTTCAATAGGGGACATTGTGCTGGACGCTGTCCCTACAAATGGTCACAAATTGCGCATCGCCTTGCCCCCCTTGCCGCAAGTGCCCTACACCAACCAACCTAGAACTCAACAAGAGTAGGGCCGCGCGCCAATGGGCTGGCTGAGTGCCCGACTCACCTGCTCCCTCGTGAATATCTGCACCGACTCGAACAGCGGGTAGTAGAACGGCGGCGCGGCCACCCAGTAGTCCTTCTTGCAGGCGTACCGTATGCACGCCGTGTACTCCTGGCTCGTCCCGTTGGGCTCCACGTACAGGATCTGGAGGGGGATGAGCGGGAAGGCCGGCGGCATGCCCTCCAGCGTGTCGCCCGGGTTGGCCGGGTCCGAGGACATCTTGCCCACGATGGACAGGTCGAGGGGAAATCGGCCGCAGGATGCGGTCAGGCGGTTCGAGTACGTCTCTGGCGAGGTGATCGTCCTTTGCCAAGACAGGGCATTGTTTCAGTGTTTAAGCCGTCTCTCTGGGAAGGCAGGGCGGCAATGAATGGCAACAAACTGGCAGGCTGAGAGGAAGATGGACGCAGGGGCGGTGAAGCGGTGGGAAATCGCCCTGGCAATACGATCTGCCTTGCTGAGGAGGGATTTGCATGTATTCGTCGTGCTGTGAGCGCGGGACGGCGGACGAACGACGGCAAAGAAACCAAGAAAAGGGGAGGAGAGGGGGTGGATGGCGGCAGGCATCGAGGGCGAGGGGACGCGGATGGGGTTCCCTTGCGGTGCACCAGCCAGTTCTGTTTGTCACTTCGCCACAGGCATCGATTCGCGGCAATACACAGCCTTGGCATCTCCAAGGGGATGTCAGGATGAGCAGGCACGCGGACTATTCCAAACACGATCGCCAAGAGCGCGAAAATCCATTCACGGCCCATCGGCACGGCGCACCAGTTGTACTGATCGCAGCGGCAGGCCGCCGGCTCCGAGGGCTCGTGCACCGCGGCGGAGTACCAGATCCCCTGGTAGCGCTCGATGTCGAAGCCCTGCATGCTCTCCCTGTCCACGATGTCGCCGTAGTCCGGGCAGGTTTCCCCGTCCAGGGGAGGGCCCGTGCGCGCCGCCGAGGTGCCCAGCAGCAGGACCCCCGCTGCCAGCACCACGACACTCAAGCGCCGATATGCATCGCGGGGAGCACCCATCGCGCGGCGAGGCTGGGGACTTTGGGGATGGGGTGACTGGGGAGGTCTCCGTTCAGACAGCACGCGACTTGCGGGCACGTGGGCCGAGCAGCCGGGCGGGGTGCCGGAGGAGGCGAGCGGCCGCGGCGAGTGTTCGCGCGTCGGTGGCGAAGGGCGGAAGAAGGCGCGCGGGACGCGCCAGGTCAGGCGGGGACTCAGCCCATGTGGCTGTCGACTCGGCGACCCGGTGCAAAATATCCCACACGGTGTGTGTTGCCCTGGATGGGGAGGGCCATGTGTCCAGTGCACGCTTCCGCCCGCAAGCGAACTAGGCAGGGGCCGGCGCCCGTCGGAGGGGAAGGGCGTAAGGGTTTGTTGGCCTGGCCGGTGTTGAATTGCGGATGGTGACGGGGATGTCTGACCGGGGATCGAACTGGGTGTGCCTCTGGATGGGATGTCCCGCTGCGCCACCAAACCACCCGGCCAGGGCCAAGGGGGTAGTCCAATCATTTAAGTACCGCAGCCTTTCAAACCCTTCCGCACTGGAAAATGTTACAGCTGCGCTTTTGCCCCGCATTTGTTGCTCAGAGCGCTATTTTAGTATTTTTACGTTGCTCCTCAAAAATTTTATTAAAATAGCGATATGTAGTTTATTGTGTTCTCTATAAAAGGGCCAAGCAGTACGTTGCTAAGAGCATCTTCATCGGTCGGTGCTATTGCACCGGCGGAGCTATTCAGGGACGGTTCTCATTGGCTGCCCCGCTTACTAAGATGGCATTTGCCAAATAGCGCCGGTGCTATCACTCCCATGCGCGCATCGTCAGTGGTGGGTGCTATTCCTACGCCGAATAGCATCGCGGCAGCACTACAATATTCTGCGCGAATAGCACCGTGTGCTATTCTGGGTGCTATTTGGCCTCGAGCGGTGCTATTCGGGACCAGCATAGCACCACTCGGCGCCGTATAGCATCGGCGGTGCTATTGGGTTGCTACTGCTCCCCAACCGTTAATGATGGTGTGATGGCGCTGCCCAGCCATTTTGTTTAATTGCTGAGTCAGCTGGCAGGAATGAAAAAAATGCTATTTGATTAGCCAACGCTGCTTATATTGCTTCTACTACTAATAAAATATAAGCACTACTGGACAAGGATCAAACACAACCCACCTAGGCTGCGTTTCACAGCCAATAATAACAAAAGGCTTCAAATACTAATGATCTTTCATCTACTATGAACACAAACAACGATTCACAATGATGCTTGGGTGTTCAAAACATGCAACTGTTCATCTTCAGCCCTATTCCTGGCTGGTTCTGTCCTCAGCAGACCATTCACAACAGAAATAACACAAGGAACACAGCACTGGTCAAGATTCCCAGATTCACAAAACAGATGGTTGCAGATCTTAACCAGATCTGCTTACCATTCCAGCCCCCACAAGAAAGACACAAATAGCACCACCAGTGTAGTGCACACAGCTCTCAGCGCCCAGGCGACGCACCAACACACTCACTCAAGACAACAAATCACTTTGCACACAAGGGGGGCCGTCACACACGCACCCCCACGTCCCTCGGGACGTGCAGCACCACCTCGCGGTGCGCTTTTCGCCCTCCTGCTCGTGGTACGGCGCTCCACGCGTCCCGCACACTCCCACGACAGGCCGGCCAATCGCTGCCCGGCGCTCAGTCACAATTTGCAGCTCTTACACTTCAGACTGGCCACACGATTGCGTCCGTTCACGCACAGTTCGCAGCACCACCCCACGGCAACAGGAAAAAGGGGCGGCGCCGCCACCACCACGACTCCCCATTTCTCAAGTGAGAATGACATTTGCCAAATCAGGCGCTGAGACAGACTGACGCGCGTCAAATGCGCAGTGCGGCACAGTGCGCGGCGAGTTGCTCCTGTGCAGCGAGCGACAGCGTCCGCGCTCGCGTACGGGCTCCGTTACGAGCGACGAACGTCACCCACCCGCCCACCCTAGACCCACCGGTCTTGCGACCCTCGGTCCTGTGGTGCCCGGGCTTGGGCCCTCTTCTCCTGCCTCTCGGGGCGTGTCAGAGTTGAGTAATCTCCTCGGCACCCCGATGGCCGGAGGGGAATCCACCCCAACGTCATTCACGACTTGCTCTAACAGAAGCAACGTACGCATTCATGAATACTCCATTTTAACACCTTGATTGTTCCTATCATTACCCCCATCAAACCCACTTCAATGCCCCCACGTGGGGTCGTCCAAACTCCCCCTCGCCACAGGTCCAGTACGCCAAAAAATCAAGTTAGTACTTTGCGTTTTCCGTCATCCCCCCCACGTGACAATCCTGGCGCCTCCGCCCCTCCGCGCCCGAGGACTCCGCGCTCGCTCCCGCCGCCTCCGCCGCGGTGCCGCCTGCCCGCCGGCCGTCGCGCTGGCTCAGAACACGCCGGGCTCCTCCTTCACGGAGGGCCCCTCCACTTCCGACCAACCTGCCTCGATCGCACCGGTCGCGGCGGCCTCTCCGACCCCGCCGGCCTCCTCGCCTTCGCCTCATGGCCCGTCATCGCCAGCTGCATCGCGGCCAACGTCCACCATCAACTCGTCCTTGCCGTCCGAGCCCAGGGCGCCACACTCTGTGACGCTCTGCGCGTCCAAAAAACGGCCCGGCACGGCGCCATCCTCGCCGAAGCCGGCGCCATCTCGCGCTGGCGCTCCACAATGCGCCGCCCCGACCCGCCTCTCCGGCGGCAGTATGGCGCGCCAGATGTCGCCCTCCACGGGCGGCCAAGGTGCCCCGCCGCTGCGCCTCGCAACCACGGCCATCCAGGCCGCAAAATGCCGTCCGAGCGGCCTCCATGGCCGGCTCCAAACTCGCCGCGCCTCAGCCGCTCCCGTCGTGCGGATGGCCCAGCGTGGCGTTCGCCGCCGCTCGCCCCTCGCGCGCGGCCCTCTCTGCCAACCACCGCGGCCTCCGCCGAGCTCGCGCGCCTCCTTCGGGCGCTGGAGGGGGCGCCCCGCGCACCCAGGGGGCTGCGCCTCGCAGCAGTGCGACTGACGTCCAGTCACCCCCCCGCCGGTCCGCCATACGGTACGCCGGGACGCCAAATACACTAAGTACTAACCCCCAAAATAAAATATAATAATTCTGGACTACAGCCCTTTTCCAGCGCTGTACCTAAACACACCCTTTGACTAGGGGAACCAGCTCCTTTTTCAGGAGCTGTTTGGTGGCGCACAAATCCCTTTTTCAGGGACCAAACATACACCATTTTTAAGCCAATCTAATACATGCTTTTTCAGCTTGGTTTGCCTCAAAACCAACCTCAAAGTCAGTTCAGAGAATCCAGTTTCTTCTCCAGAAACTCCCAAATCATCTCACACCCTCGCAGCTCCTTTTTCAGGAGCTGTTGGATGCTTGTACACATCCCTTTTTCAGGGAATTAGTCATGCACCCATTGTAATCAAATGCCAAACATGCTTTTCCAGCATGTTTCCTCAAACAGGTCATGGACTTCAGTTTCTTACTCAGAAACTGATCCTGTAGTTCTGCATAATCTCACAGCTCCTTTTTCAGGAGGAGCACCACTTTTTCAGCGGTAAACATCAATCAATTCTGCCCAATTTCAAAGGCAGCACAACTCTTCCAGTGGCAGCCTCATACAACCACTTTTTCAGTGGTATACACCAGCCATTCCCGTCAAATTTCACAGGCTGCATCACTTTCTCAGTGGCAGCCACACATAACCACTTTTCCAGCGGTATGTACCAACCAAGGCTGCACTACTTGTATCATTGGTAGGCAGATTCCAGCCACTTTCTCAGTGGCAAACACAACTCGCATCAGGTCGTCCGCGCCAAAAGGATGCAAGAGCTGGAAAGTAACATCAGCTCAGTGCCATGCCGGGGAAAGTGACATCCCGGCATGTTCCCTAAGGCGCATGCCTGTGAACTGAGCGGCTGGGGGCACAGTCCCACAAACTCACATTTGGGTGACCCCATGGCTGGAAAGAACCATCAGCCAACGGAGTACAATCCCATGTGTGCCCAAACCAATCATGGACACTCCCACTGGTCCAAAACTCCTTGTTCAGGAGTCTTTCCCTTTCTTTCTCATTTGTTCAGTGACTTTCCCACATTTTCGCTGCCCTTGTCACTTATTCAGCGACATTCAGAGCACCAGAATAAGGTCAGCGTCTGGGGCACTCGAAGAGTGGGTAGGTTGGGCAACACACCAACACAACCCCATGCTGAGGCAAGACACATCCCAGCATGTTTCTTGGGGCCCAAACGTCTAAACAATACGGTCCAGGACACAGCCCTGTGACCGTTAGATCAGATTCTACCCATAGCTGGAAAGAGACATCAGCATATGGGATCGAATCTGGACCAAAGTGATGTGATGAAACGGCCAGCAACACAGCCAGCACGTATGTTTTCTCCACAGCAATATTGCAGCCGTGGGTGAATGATGAATAAGCGAACACATGCAGCCTTAGCAAGGGGTAGTCCACCCTGGAAAGAGCCATCAGGTGTGGGCCCAAGCTTTTGGCTATGCATGGTTCCCTTTCAGCCTTTTTCAGGCCAGCAACGCCTTAGCCTTGCGCAATCGGCTTTGAGGCTGGACACACACCCAAACTGAGCGGTATCCTAACTCAGGACACATAGCCCCACCAGATATTGAGAGCCGCGGTCAATACTGGTGAGGCAGCTTCTACTGAAATACTCTTGCAGCGTAGGGTGTCGCTCAGTCGTCACCAAGCGCCCCTTGAGGCAATACTCCTCTCAACTTTCATGACCAGCTTGCTATATCATCAAAAATGCAAGCCCTTGACCAGTTTTTGTTTTTGTTTTTGTTTCTGTCTTTTTCCTCTTTCTAAACGGTGGTGGCATACTCGGGCCATCCCACACAGTCAGCATGCGTGTCAGACGTGAGTCCCTCGCCAGCTGAATCATAAGTGACTCACCCAGTGAAACGGTGGTCATTATGCAGCTGCGCGAACAGGTGTTTTTCAAATAGCCGAATAGCACCGCCGGGACAATGGCACCCACCATAAAGATGCTCTAAGCAGAATCTAAGCAGAAGGGTTTAACAATCTACTGTACCCTTCACCCAACAGTTGGAGAGCCGATCTGGAGGCGATTTGACACGCGGCCCCCGTCGGGCGCCTCACTCTGACGTGGCCCAGTCCGGGCCCACGCTCCCCGAACACCTCCCCAGCGAGGCGCCTTTAGAAATTCGCGTGGCCCGCCCCTGACCCCAGCCTCCGCCTGCGCCTGCCTTGTTCATGACCCGGGGGGCCTGACCGGCGACTTGCCCCCCGCGGGGCCCAGGCGGCCATAGGCCGGGCGCGACGCCGGCCGCCTCGACGCGCGCCCGGCCCCCCCCGGGTGCATGGCGGAATCGGTTCTGATCGAGCAGCTACGGGCCAAGGTCGAGGCCCTCAGGTCGCCCAGGGGTGGGGGGAGGGGCGCCCGCGATGCCGCAGACTCGTCCGCCGCGTCCACGACCAGGTGCGGGGAGCCAGAGTCGTCGCGCGCTTCCCATCGGCATGCGCCTTGCGTCCGTCCCAATCGTCGTAGCATTCAGGGTTTGACAAACTGCGCACTCACTCTTGGCTCGTGGGCCACGCTGGATGTTTATTGCGGGCAGCGCGCGTGGGTCGCGTGCTGTCGGGCGTTTCTGTGGCGAATGAAAATTTTATCAGCGCCTCCCTGTGGGAGCTGTTCTGGTTGCCGGTTGGCTGCCCTTGACGCCCGATGGGGTTCGGCTGCGCTCCCCATGGGCATTGGCATTGGGATTGTTCTGTGGGCCCTGAGCCGAATCTGATGGAGGGGTTGTTTTGATTGGCAGCAAGGATAGCGGCTGCAGGCTGAACAGCGCCCGCGGCCCTGCGCCGCCGTGGGAGCACGGCCAAGAGGTGGACTCCGCGATCGTCGTGAACGTGGGCGGCGTCAACTACACCACCACGGTGGCGACCCTCAAAGCCGTCGAGTCGTCGTATTTTTCGCTCATGCTCAATGGCCTGTGGGAGCCCGCGCGGACGAGGGGAGGGGACATCTTTGTCGACAGGAATGGAGAGGTGATTGCCGCAGCGCGTTCCCCCTTCCAGGGCGCTGTGTGTTGCATGCGTGCCTTCCTGCTGCCAGAGGGAGACTTTGACAGCATCTTTCATGACAGTGACAAAGAGCCCCGCGCACAATTTGGTGAGCATGGTGCTGCCCATTGCCTGGCCTGTTTGCTTTGGATGTGACGAATCTTCGATGGACGCACCAAGCGTCGGCGCGTCGGTTCGTCGGCCTCCCGATCGAAGTGAGAAACCCCGGCAGTACTTGCGCTTGCTGTCATCGAATGTGTGACAATAGAAAGTTGTTTCGCTCGTTGGCAGTGCATTGATTGCCTGGCAACGTCTGGTTGTCGAGGCGTCGTTGGGCTGTTGAGTCGTGCCTTTTCGGGATAAATATCACGGAAGCGTGTTGTTTGGCGCAACAGTGTTGGAAAACGTCCGCAGTGAGTGACAACAGGATCGTTGAACCCACCGTTGCTTGGGCTTCGCGGTGGAATTTGGCGCCCACTTGTCTCCGCTGACTGTAATGCCTTGCCTGTTTGTGCACCAGCTGTTCGGCTATGTGTTGGAGCATCTGAGGGCCGAGTGCCACAGGGAACCAGACACTCTTCAGCTCCCAGACGACTTGGACACGCTCAATGCCCTGCTCAGAGAGGCGGAATTCTATCGCTTGCCCACACTTGTTTCCAGACTGAAGAAACGAAAGCAGGTGAGCTCATGGCCTGCCTGGTATTGCTCTGGGGTGAATTCGACATGGGCAGAGAGCCCCAATTGTGGCCAGCTGAGTCCATGATGCTTGAGCAGGGGCACATGGTTGTGGTTGAATTGTGCCAGAGAGGGGGAAGCATACAAGTGTTGCTATTCAAAAGGACAGACCACAAGCAACAGAGACACTGCATCAATCCAAGTGTCTTTGTCCCTTTCCCAGCTGCGCATGGCGACTTCGAAACCTCAACATGTAGCATAGCTTGGTGCAGTAAGTGTGTGTGCTCATGGATGCTTGCATATTGGTATTAATAGCGAAATAGGCAATTACAGTGAGGCGAGAGGCAGGAGATTTGTTGATGCAGGCATTGGAGGGGATGAATTAAGATCAGATTTACCGCATTTACTGGCTATTAGTAGACATGTATTGGACCCCCAAAATGAGTGGTGGATGCTAATATTGGATCATGGATACTAACGCAGTTTAGTCCCCAGATCCAAGGAGTAGACAAAGAATTTTCTTAGAAAAGGCCACCAAATGCCCAAAAATGGGCTTGAAGTAATGCAAGATGCAGTGCATAGGTAGCAGCATCGCCAAGTCAAAGTTCAAAATCACAAACACCACAGTTCTGTCAGTGACAATGCTATTACTGATAGTTGTCAGCCTCTTCATGGTAGCCGGCGGCTTGGACTTAGGGCTGCACCAGGCGGGAACGACTGGCGATTCGGTCCAACAGGGGTTCGCTGGAATGCTCGAGGCGCGTTTTTCTCTGCGATGCGAAGAACAAGGACCAACATGGGCCTCAACACACCGGGGCGCCACGCTGTGACGACCGGCTTGGCCGCCAGCGTTTTCCTGGGCTGATACCCACTGGGATGGCTGATGGGATCTGTGATTGGGTTTTTGGCCTGGTAGCCACTGTGGTGTGCGAATTGGGGATGGGCCCTGGCTACATGGCGTTCAGCATGTAGCTTTGCGAGGTGGGGCCCCACAACAGTGGTCGCCTCGACCAGCGCCGTCGCCTGGCCATTCCCGGTGCTGAGCCTTGGGGCGCCCTTGGCGGGCGCCACTCTAGAACCTGCTCTGGCCGGCAGGGAGGGCCAGCAGGTTGACTAAATCCAGAACCAGGGCGCCTTGATTCTCGTCTGCTTCTTGGATCGCACCTCGTGGTGTCGGTTGCTGCTCAGCGATCTTGTGCTGAAAGCCCCAACGGCAGCCGGTCGACCTCGCGGCCTTTCGTGGGCCTCCTACCAAATTCTCCCTTGACGGCATCCAACCCAAGCCAATCGTCTGCGTCGATGTGCGAATCGCTGGGAATGCGGTTTGGCCCGCACTGGGCAACGCAGCCCAACACCAGCTGCCAACAGCCCTTGCCACCATCCGCACCTTCACTCGTTTCTGTTGAGGTTGGGGGGTGGATACTAACACCGGGTCATGGATACTGATTGGGGGTGGAGACTAATATTGGGTGAATACGGTAGCTGGAGCCAGTGTTTGAAGTTGTGAATATTAGCTGTGGCATCCTGCACACTGGCATTCATCTCGTCATCGTGAATGCACAGGAATACCAAGAACTCACCTTTGTTCCTGTGGCCAGGAGATGATGGTTGTACTGGATCAAAACGGTGCCATGGCAGCCACCCTTGGTGGCTACGGATCCATGGATCCAGTGCCTCGTGTGGAGTTGGACATCGCATACAGCACTATCAGCAGTGCCCACTGCCAGTTCACAGAGGTGACCTTCAGGACAACAGAGGACCTGAGTTTTGCCAATTGTTGAGTCCACCCATGCAGGGCTGTATGTGTGCATGTTTCTTGTAAATTTTTCGTGTTTCATGAGTGCTCTGGCAGCCTGTGAAATGTTGAGAAAGTCACATCTCTGTTGTAACTTTACAGTGCTACGGGCAGCCTTATGGTTCACTGACTCAATGAAGTCATTGTGGCACAGGAGGCACTGCACAACTTGTCAACGCAGGTCAACAGTCAGATTCTGTGGAAGGGCCGCAATGGGTTCAATGTGAAGGTGAGTGTTGCATAGATTATCAACGTTCGAGTCTTCAACTGCAGTGCAGCTTGTGTTACTTTGCTACACCACAATTCTTGTGTATCGTTGATTCACACATGTGGAAGTAATTGCAGGTAACGATGTCACGTGTTTTTGAGTTGATTTGTGGGGTTGTGGGAGATTGGAGATCATTAATTGCAATTGCCTTGACAGGTTAGAACATGGCTTTTGCACTTTGTAGACGATGACGTGCCTTGAAGACGCAATGAGGACTTTGTGTGCCAGATTTTACAACCAGTAATTGTCATTGTGGCATAGACGTCGTACAATGGGAAGCCATTATGAGCAGTGAGCATACCATTGTGATTTCATGCAAAATTGAACAAACAGCACCAACGTGGGACCATTGCAAGTCTGGATGCCTCATACAGGTTTTTCTTTGATGAGTTTGGGGCCTGGCCCTCTGCCGAAAAGTGCCTTCCTATCGGTGTTGCTTTCTGTCAAACGGTCTATGAAGACTTGATATGTGCAGCTGCCACTGTGGCAGCACCCTGGAATGCCCCTATGAAGGAGGACACCACAGACCAGGTTCTGTACCCATGATCATCTGCTGCAACCGATGTTGTGGTGGCTCAGTGAGATTCTGATGGGCGGAGCCCAGTAGAGATCTGGGAGGTACCATCTGCTGGTCCACAGCTCGACCAAATTGACAGCTGAACAGTTTCAGAACACTCTGCCACAATGGATTCGGTTGCTGAGTGTGTTAAGATAACTCGTGTAAAAATCTTGAGGAAATCATGATCACCTGTTCGCACAGGGTAGATATGTTGTGCGATTGGCTGTGCTGGGCTTCGCCATTGTGAAGTGTTCCATGGATGTTCATGTCGTGCTCCAAGGCAATGCCAGTAGAGATTCCCTTGCTACCCACACCAGTTGTGAATCCAGAAAGACTCATTCACACCTGTTTGTTCACACATTTGGTGATTGTGCAGTAGCCAGATAGTGTTCAGTGTGGTGTAGTGCTTTGTTTGCTCATGATCTTTATGTTGACGAAATTGCTGAATCACTGGCAGCTTTTGTGAAGTGTGAATTCCCTCTGTCTTAGGATGTGAGCTCAAGGGTGCATTTCAACCCCAACGACCCGAAGCTGCCGTACACCATGACATGCACTGCAGTACTGGTGCGAGAGAGGGGAATGTTGCAGCGCACAGGCTGTGCAGTTTCTGCTGGCCACTGTGACAACTGCCATTCATCTGGTCTGGTGTCGAATCCAGCGAACGGCTCGCTGCAGCAGGCCGCAGATTCCAGACTGCGATTGCAGCTGCTGGCTGCTCAGCAAGCGTCCAATGCGAACCAACAATGCCCTCTTGTGTCCTCTCAGTGTCTTGGGCGTAGACGCAGTATGTCACTGAATGACATGTTGGACCAGTCTATGAATCCTCCTGTTGAAGCTCTTGGCGCATCAGCATCGCAAAACCCAGCAGCCATAGGGCCCCAGGAAAGGTCGTCCTTCCTTCAGGGACGGACCCAGAATGGCTGTCCTGGTGGGATGGACTGGGACCCTTACTTTGAGGGCTACACTGGCGAAGTGCGGCGGATCTTGGGCTTCACTCAAGCCCCTGGCTGCCAAGCGACCCCACCACGTCCTGTGGATGCCATGGAGGTCTGCAGCACAGCGGAAGTGGTGCATGAAAGCAGCAAGAGATGCCAAGGGGGGGGCAAGTTTGGGCATGTGTTGGACTCCCCAGTTGCCCAGGAAAGTGGGGTTCTGTCGTCGAGGGGGAGAGGGGATGTGCTGGTTGCAGGGATACCAAAAAGGCAGCCAAGATTGGGAACCCACCCATGTTGTGAAGGCGTTGGCATTGCTGCCCATGGGCTTGACTCCTCCAGCGATGTCTCTATGGCTAGTGTTAAGCAGGAGGGGGCTGCAGACACGTTGGTCACAGATCACCCTGCCGTTGCCAAGGAGGAGACTCTGGATGGAATTGAAATCTGCTGGTCTGAGTCTTCTGACTCTGGAAGTCTAACCAGTGAAGCGAGTGTCTGTGAGCCACCGGCAACAACTTTGGCTGAAAGGCCTGTCAGTGATGGGCATGATGAGAGCAGAGAGGCTGATAGAGGGTTGGCAGGTGGCGCCCAGCACTCAGCTGCTTGCTGCATTGATGCTGTTCACTCTGGTGGCACTGGGGATACGATTCTGGGGAAAGGTGTGGATGCGGGGGAGGGAAATTTGCAAAGCATGCCAGAGTCACTAATCAGTGGGACGGAGGGCACAGCTGACGTTCCGCTGAAACGCACTTTGCATGGACGTTCCAATGTTAAGGAAAACAGAGGGCGTGGCCTAGATGACACTGAAGTGTCAGCACCACAGGACATGCCCAGGTCAGCGTGTGAACCTGCTATGTACCAGCACCCAAACCCAGATCGTGAAGCACAAAGGCAAAGGGTCCAACAGAGGTACATGGATGCCTATGGAAATGTGCTCTCCCCCCGCGATTCAAGAGCACTCTCAGGCAGGGATGTGCTTTCTCCCCGGGGTGTGAGAGTTCCATCAGATGGAAGTTCTTTTGGTCCCCCATGCTCAAGGGTGCCCTCTAACAGAGGCCCGCTTTCTCCGCGTGAAGCTCGAGCTCCCTTGGATGATGGCGTCCTGTCTCCCCGTGCTTCAAGAATTTCCATGGGACGACACCTGGTGTCTCCCCGTGGTGCGAGAGCACCCTTGCAAGAGTCCGTTCTCTCTCCCCGCAGCTCCAGAGCTCCCTCAGAACGCAATTGTTCCATGGTTGGCCAGCTCCACACTCTGACAGAAGAGGGGACCGTTGGCCAGGAGGGTCCAAGCCATGGTACCATGCACAGAGGAGTGGGGTACCAGTCTGGGAGCAGCGCCCAGGGAGCAGCAGTTGCAGGGTGCGTCTCGAATGCATCCCAGGCGGGCCTGGCACAACATCGCAGCAAAGTGGCGAATGCAACCAGCCTGTCAAAGAGACTTCTTCCTTCTTCCAGGCGCAAACGCCATGACAGCTCAAAGAAGGAGCGCAAGGCTGCGGATCAGCCTGGTGCGGTACCAAAGTGTGGACCGCTGTTCGTGGGAGCTCACGAGACCAGCACTTTGCAGCCCACGCTGCAGAGAGACAAGGCCCACAGCAAGGCGAAGATCCGGTCGCTCATTCCCCTCCTCAACCTAGCGCCAATCACAGGGGCGACAGGCAGGGAGGGAGCCCAGCTGCTGGGGCGCAGGCCAGACTTGGAGGGTGCCCACGCACAGGGGGGCCCGATTGGAGGCATGCCAAAGAGCGTTGCCACTGACGCCATTCAGTCTGGACAGGTGAGGCCGGGCGCACTGGCGCCTGGTCTTCCCAGACGGGCTTCAAACACAGCACCGCAGCCTCTAAGCGGCCGTGGTCGGCGCCCATCCAAGTTTGGAGGCGCAGGATAACATTGAGCCATGTGGCTCTTGACTGATGCTATTTGACTGGCAGGGTGCTGCTTGCAACGTTGACATGGACTTTTTTGGAAGACAATGATGTGGCGACCGTCCGTCAAGTGGGATTTATCGATATGTCCTGCGGACTTAACGCAGGGGGTGCCGAAGGTGTGCAGTATTTAATATTCAAAGAGGGAATTTTTTGAGAGAAACGGGTTGCCGGTGTCGCCCCGGTCGAAGTGTGTCCCATTGGGGACGGATACGTGGGCGCGCTGCACTGGCTGCAGTTTTGACCACCATTTTTATTGCTGCCGTGCAGATGGCGGACCGTGTGCGCTGTAGGATATCTCGGGCAAGGGGAAGCCCGGGAGGATAAGTACTTGCTGGGAATGGGTAGATGGAACATGTACATTGTTGTTTTGACGAGCTTATTGGCGACGCAAGCGCAGACTGAGGCACCTACCCATGGCGTGCGCTGCTCCTGGGTCCATTGTGTTCAACAGGAGTGTATGGCTGGCTGGCTGAAATGGAGGAGAGCTGAACATCAGTGCCCCTGAACGGCAAGCAGAGTTCCTGAGAGCTGCTGCTGTGGTCAAGAAGTGTCAGAATTACACGATGTTCAGGTCGCCAATTACTGTGGCTCATCAAAAACTTTGTAAATTAATGATATCACTCAGGTGGCGACCCGTGAGGTCCAGATATGGTGCAGAGGGGATGTCGACAGCCTCAGCACCTTCGTCACACTGATCTTCATCAAGCAGGTTGGCGCTCAATGAGGTGGGAAACCCCCAAGTCATCAGCCAGGCGTGCTACATAATTTTCTAGTATTGTGAGTTCAAGGCACTCAGAATGCAGGGAGATGACTTTTATGACAAAGATAGACTATGGCAACTTCATCCTACGCCCAAAGAGTCCACTAAGATACTGTAAAGATGCTGAGCACAATGCCAATACGTGGCAGTGCATCACACGAAGAGACACAAGTCAAACACGCCTGGAAAACACCTTGGAGTACTGAGGAGCACCCAAATTGCAATTGGACGCGTCCGTTTGCTTAGGGGTTGCCTGCCTGGCGGTCTGCCAAGGACCTTGGTGAGACGGAGCCAGGCAGGGCGTGCGGAGGCGCCACGTGGTTGTTTGATGGGAATATGCCCTGTGGGGCATTACGTGATTGCTGGCCGCGGGAAATATGGTTGTTTGATGGGAACATGGCCCTTGGGACATTACACGTTGGCTGATCACGGGCAGTGAGGCGTAGCAGGTTGAGTTGCAGTGAAACGGCGGGTGTGGCAGAAAGATTCTGAGTATCAAAAGAGCATCTCATAGGCATGGGGGTAATTTGCCAGAGCTTGGGGGTTTACATGCACTAGGGGCGTGGCGAACGCTGCAGGGAACTCTGTATTGTTGCATTCGGCCTGGCACTCGGCCTGGCTGCCCTGGCCGCGTGTGCAATGTTCGCCACGGCCTGAGCGAAAGAGCGCTCGACCTTTCCGAAGGTCACGGCCAGTCTGTGCCCTTTCTCAGCCGCTTTCTTTGCCGTTCAAGACCAGCACTGCCAGCGCGGGCGCGCTGCTTGCCAAAAGTGTCCAGCCTTCGTCGCTGCACAGCCTCATTAAGGGGAAAGAAGCATTTTTCGTATATTGTATGGACAACACTGCCCCAGCCCGTGTGGCCGACCTATGCCCTGGCCTCGCTGACCTATGGGGAGAGGTTGCGACCGGTTGCGGCGCTCTGGGGGGTAGTTGTGAAAGGTTCTCCAAGCGCGTTTACATGCTTGACGGTCAATAGGATGCTTGCCGCTCGTCTAAAGCTTCCCTTGCCGTCGCTGCTATTCTTGGTCGTTGATATCGTCGCGACAAGCAGTTCTTCGTGAAGAGCCAGTTCGCGCGAGGGGCAAAGCTTGCTCGTTAAGGGCACCCTCAATTGACATGGTGCTGAGGCTGTCGACGTGGCGCAGCTGCCCGTTCAGAGGTGATTTGACTGCGCTTTCTAAGGGGATGACGGCCAAAATGGACCGCCGTCCTTCACAACGACCAGTGTGTGAAGGTAATGGAAGATGCTATGTCGATTTTGATATGCTTAGCATCAATTTGATGCTAAGCCCAGAACCCCCTGCAGACACTTGCTTAGGAGGGGGTGCCCTTTCAATGACCTGTTTCTTTCTCTCTTTGTAACAAATCTTACAGTACCCCAAACGCAAACCCCACCCCCTGCTTCGCGTCAATCCTTATGTCGATTGTCAGGATGACTCAGCAACATGACATAACGGAGCTAGACAATTTCAAGGTGGTTTCAAAGAACACAAAGAACGAGAATTGCAGAAAATGTAATGGGCTGAAAAACAGGACTCTAAGGGCCATTGCGGGTGATTGGGATAGCCTCAATTGCTGCTCATTGAGGTGTTATGAGGCCTTCATTCAAGGCTGAATGCTTGAAGGGAGTTTTGGAACAAGTCATGAGCTGTTTGCAGCTGATCAGCGGCGTTGCTTGTGCCTTTTCACTTCATGTCGCTTTTGTGGCAAGTACACAATCTCTGAGCGTCACAAGCTTTTGTGCGCCAACTTGTGAGTCAACTTGGCTCTAAGCACAACAAATTAGACATAGTGCCTTCCCTAATGCATTTGGAAAGGGCACAAGCAAGGCTTTACTCAATCCTTCTGTGGCTGTGCTCTTTGGGTGACGTATTGGGTGACATGTTATTTGTGGGCAATGCCATGAAACAAGCTGTTACTTGTTACTAAATGTTTTCAAGTTGTAAGTGCTCACAGTTGTGATTCGGTGGATTGTTGGCCTCCCGCTGACTGCACGGAATCACTGCTCTCGCAACCTGTGGTTGGGGGCCATCAATGGAATCAACAGCAGTGTCAAATAAACAATTGTTGATTGGGCATAGCGCCACATCCACTCCGTCGAATTGTGAGCCCGACTGCGTTGGTGAGTCACGATCTGTGTCGTCAGGCTCCAGCTCATAATGGACCCGTTTTGGAGCAATTAAGTGGCCACCAAACAGCATTTACTTGCTGTAGTGCAATCTCGTGGGAAGAAAAGCTGAAGATCATCGCACCATGCTGTTTCCTGACGGGAAATTGTGTCGTGTTGGCAAAGAACGTAGACGCCGAAACAATCCGTCCAGATTTGCTGCCTGTACCTGCAGCATCGTCCTGGAAGTACCTGGAACTGGCGACGTCCGAGATCTTTCGGCGAGCTTCTTGGCAATGTACGGCGACTGTCTCAGAAAGCACACTCCAAGAAACAGTGCTGAGGGGGAAGAAATTCGAGGGAAAAGCAGTCCGAAATTTTTGCGGTTCACGGAACTGCCAAAACCGCGAAAGGAAAGTCTTGGAAATTCTCAAAATTTCCTGAAGCGGTGCAGCGCGACCTCCAGCGGCAACTTCATCACCACCAAGACCCGTGGTCACTGCCCTGCTATGCCGGGCCCGGCAGAGGGACCAGCAGCGACCGGCGTGAGCGCGGGCCGTGCACGATGGTGCCGCAGCCGATGAAGCAGGCGGCGCCACCCGTGCCCTTCGCGCCCAAGCGCCAACGCCCGGAAAATTCGTACCCCCAACCCAAGGGTACACCTTGCCGGTACCAGTCTTCCCCACCATCGCAAATGCCACAACACCACGCACTCGTCCCCATAGATGCGCTCCGCAAATCGGCCCGGCTGTCCATTCACATGTTGCGTAGATGGCTTCCCTCTCGTGCCTGGGGCCCTCACACATAACCCCCAGGTGTGATTGCGTTGCCCTTCCGATAAGCACAAAGTTGAGGCTCCTCGGCCGTGTCAGGCAGCGGTTTAGCTGGTCGCTCCGGCACGTCATACCCCGCTGTGGGGCCAGTGACTGCAACTCAGTTCTGAGCACACTGGCGAAGGTGCTGGCACCCCGTACCAGTGCTCTGGCTCTGCAGGGCTTGTAATTCGGGGGGCCGCCTTTGGCAGCAACACACAAAAAGGAATCCCCTCGATTGCCACGCCGCTGGCGGTGATGGCTGCGAGCTTTTCTTCAGGTCCGCTTTTCGGATTTTGCGGCGGGGCGTGGACAGTGGATGGAAGGGGGACCTGCAGATGGCGCGTGGAGGAAACGCACGTGGCACCCGGGGCGTGTGGGCTCTCCAAGGCTTGGCCAGGCAGCCGGCGGACGTCAAGCGAAAACCGGCCAAACTGCGACCGGCGCACAAGCTGTCACGGTAAGACATCAACTCCTTGCGCTTGCGGGGTCCTTTCAGCGTCCTTGCAATCGGGCAAAGGCTCCAGGATGCAGGTATGGTTGCGAAGCGGCATTGCCAACGGTTGATTGGGAGCCGCTGCCGGAGGGCATGGGCACGGCCGCTGCGCGGCAGAAACTTGGCCAGCATCTCATGCAGGGCCTTCACCGCGGTTCGAACAAAGGGAGGTGCACATGGCGAAGCCATTTGGGTGGAATCCATGCGCGATCGTTGCAAAGGTCGCGCAAGGATTCCGCGCCACAGACATCTGCACCGTCCACCGAACGCTGTGGCGTCGAGTCCATGTCCTGGCCCAGGTCTTCCGGCAATGTGGGATGTCGCGGGAGCGCACGCACCACAAGCGTAACGTCTTTTTGGGGCCATGCGCAAAAAATGTTCATGGCAGCCCCAGCGCTCCCTCTGCACTGCCTCGGATGGCCGACCGCACCACCCAAATGACTTGCGCTTTCGCCTGCCCACCCACCACTCACCTCGACAGGAGGCCTCGCCTCGCGCGGTGCGCCAAGCGCTCGACGGGCGCCGCCCGTGGCTGTCTTCGGTGAAGGTTAGTGGCTGCCAACAACCCCGAATGTGCGTGTCCCCCCGCCCCCCCCCCCCTCGCACACACCCCAAACCGCCGATTCGGAAACGCCTCACCGCAGGTGGGCGGACGCCAACGCGCAGTCGGTTCGCGTCCGCGTTCCCCCTGAGCGTCCCGCGCGTCCAGCTGGACACCGCTGGGCGCCGCCACGTGGGCCCCCATGCCCGCACGTGGCCGCTGGTGCCTGCCCCAGCCACAGGCCGCTGCCTTTTCCCCGTCCGCACATCTTCCCCGGTTGATCGCCCTCCACTCGGCCCTGATGGCCGTATCTGCGGCGTGACTGTCCGGGACCGGCCCGGCGGGCGTATCTCCACAAAAATATCTCGCCCGATTCTGCCTGCCCTCACCCCCGCCCTTCCGTCTTGTCACCGCGGCCGCCTTCCCCCCCCCCCGGGGCCCTCCCGCCGCCCCGCCCACCCCCCCGAGGCCGGCCTCGCCCGCGTCCGGAGACCCACAGGTGTGTCGAACGGCAGCTTCGTTCCCCGCGGTGCCGGCCGCAATCATGATGGGCGCATTCTCGTCAACGCGGGTGGGGGGCTCTCGCGCGATCCAAGCGCCACTCTTGCGGTTGTCCTTCAGCGCTGGGGGGGGTTCTGTGGAGGCATGCCATACTGGCCATGCCGCTGGGTGGGTGGATGCCTGCCCGGGTTGGTGCCCGCCGGGTCCGCGAGGGGACCCGTCCGGCGAGACCGCGTCTGACGGCGCCCTGTGTCTCCTCGCCGGTCGGCGTAAGGCGTGGGTGCCTGTGGAAAGGGGGGCAGCTGCGCGGCCTCCCCGAAAACCAAGGCGCTGGGGTGGCGCGCTGGCTGGTTTGACCTCGAGGCCCTGCGGCACGGCCTGGGCCGCGGCGATGATTTGCGCGGTGCGGCGCCGACGCCGGCGGCAGGCGGTTTCTGCCGGCTACGCCCTGCACGGCTGCCGCGCCGCAGCACACCGGGAGCCCTACGGGTCCGCGAGCCATCGCCGTACGATGGGCCGACGGGGACTCGTGGCCGGGCTTGGGCGATGCGGCGAGCGGCGCGGAAGTCCGTGGGGCTGCATACGACCGTTCGTTGTCCGGCGTGTGGTGGCAGAGCTGAGCCAATTGACGGCAGGCGAAAGTGTGCGGTGACTGACCGTCTCCGCCGGTCGTTGGGACGGCCCGGTCGCCGTTGCTGCGCGATCGGAGCTGCCGCTGCTCTCTCCTTGATCTTGTCCATCACTGGGGTTCGGACGGACCACAGCTGTGGAATCGCAGCTTTCAACGGGTCTCAATTTCACCGGCTGTGGAACCACGTGTTGGCACTTTGGGACAGCCACACAACTTGTGCGACATGAGTAACTCATCTAAAATTGTGCGGATGCAGAGGCTGGGCGTCGCCAGTTGTGCCATTTTGGCCGCGTTCCTCCTCGAACTGTTGCCATTGTTGTGACCCACTGCAGGCCGCCAACTTTGCCGCCATCCTGGTGCCCTGCGCATCTTCTGACGACTACATGTGCTTGCGGGACAGAATCCCAGGAATGCAGCCCGCTGTTCAGCAGGGCAGCCGCTTCATGCAACAAGGTGAGCTATTGGGAAGGACGCTGTGCGGAGCTGTGAAGTCGTGGCATCGATGCTGTGGCATGTGGACTTTAGAGCTCTTCTGCCCTTAGATGCTTGTGCTCCTTGGGACTTCCAAAAACTGGCTGGCTAAGAGTTGAAGCAGCATAGCGTGTTTGCAAGTGCATTCTGCTGTGCGCGTTGCTACGGACGCTGCGAGCTTGGAAATGAAGTGCCATGGAATGCAATTTTGTGATTGTGCATTAAATCCGAGGTCTGGTGGCTTTCGAGTGAGTGCCTGTTGCATTTTGTGCCAATGCGGCTGAAGAAGGCGTGGAAAGGTGCTGATGGTGGGCGATGTGGTTGTAGGTGGTCAGGTTGGTGTGGTACCTGGTCAGTTGGGAGTCAACACCAATGCTCTGCTTCAAGGTACCACAACATTGCTGTGTGGGTTGCTGTCACTCAGATCACCCGTGGTGACAGCAAGACACCTGCATTTCTTTATCTTGTGCGATTGAGCCTCCAGCATGTTCACAAGCTGGAATCTCATACCCTGGACGCACTAGGAGATTTGTTGTTTTGTGGGTGGGAGTGGCCATGCCTCTTTGTCAAAGTTCTGCCCAGAATCAACCTCCTGCTATGAAGCATCCATTGCAATGGCATACCATGTAATGCACTGCAACCTTGATTCTGAATCCCATGGGACATGCTGAGGCACTCAGAGAAGCATTAACCAATCAGCACAGAGCCAGTTCATCTCCATTAGGAGCGTCAAAACTGCCATTTACAGTTTGCATTGAACAGACACAGGTTTTGTTGTTTGCTGTGGAATTGTGCAGCCTCCCATTTGTTATTTAATATCAGGAGGAATCGTCATACTGCCACCTTGATGCAGCTCTTGACAAAAGGCAAACTGTTGCTGTGTCAGGGTGGTCTGTGTCAGGGTGGCGCCTGAGATCTGCATTGAAGCTTAGCTTGCTGCTGAATATGGTGGATGTACACTTTAAAAAGGTCAACACGGCTGGCACACAATCTACATATGCAGTTCAAATGAAGTGTGCATCAATCGGTCATGCCTAGAGGCAAACTGCACAGCTGTCCCTTACTGGGATGTGTCCCGTCATGAGTACCACGAAAACCAGCTCCTATGCCTCAGTCTTCAGTCTCTACTCCTTTTGAGAATATCTTGGGGATAGAAATGCCCCATCTACATATGTGCTGGTGCTGATGACCAGCAAAAGGCATCCCAGCTTATGTCTGTCTTGAGATCCTGAACCAAGCAGGGAGACTTGTGGGATGTGGTTTCATTGTTACTCCATGTGCAGTCGATTTTTTCTGGTGCAAACCTTGTCCCACCACGCCTCTTTTGTTGATTGATGCAAAGGTGTGCTTTTGTGGCCCGGGTACCACGCAATGTGGGACCTGAGTGTGAAATACGGGTGACCAGACTCTAATGTGCGGCCAAGGCGCATTTTCTGTCATTTGCAAGTGTGGACATCGTGTCACTGATGGGCTGTACGTTTGTTCTGTCAGGGGGAAGTTTGGGAGGCACGTCAAGCTTCAGTGTGGGCAGCCCCAGCAGCACCCGCAGCGGCATGCATGGAACGACCCTCTCCTCTCTTCAGGGTTCCCCTGGTGGCCCTTTTTCTCAAGGTGAGTGCTGAAAGCTATTCTTATTCCTCCGATGTTAGTTTCCAGTTGCATCCACAAAGATATCCATAAGCACATTCAAAAGTTGCAAACAGTGTGAGGGTTGATACTGTTGCTTTGCTCAGCAACGTCTGTGTCCGTCTTTCAAACCTGGGAGTGTTAAAACTTCTTAGTCTAGGTTTGCGAGGATATGTTCTGCGGGCTGCAAGAAGAGTTGCACCAGCTGCTGTAGCAAACACAAGCCTGCTGCGAAATTCTCAACTGCTAATAGGGTGTGCTGACATATTCAATGCCATCAGTGGAGATTCCACTGGAGCAAAGATTTCACCTGCCCTCCTGCAGTTAGGGTGCGTTTGATGGGTGTTGATGTCCATCCCAGTGTCCCTTGACCACATCCAAGCCACCAATTTGTTGACTGACAGAGCTAAAAATCATGATATTCGCAGCACACTGGCCTACACACTAAAACTCTTGCCGTAAATATGTTGGACCTTGAAACCCCGCCCTGGGTTTCCCTGAGATTGAGTTGGGTCAAAGCCTCTTCACAGATGAACTGTGTTTCTGTTAATGTTGGTTTGTGTGAACCTGGACCGGACCATATCTTCTCCAATGCTTAGCAGTCAAATGAGCAACAGCGCCTTGCTGCCATTGACAGGGTGGCGAATGGCCAACGTGGCAAGCCCCGTTACCAGCCCTACCCTTGCCAGCATGGACAGCCCGCTGGCCATCGGCATGGGCATCGGCAACAGCCTGCAAGGCCTGACTTCCACTGGCCTTCAGTACCACATGCAGAGCGGCCTCACAGGGTCGCTCGGCAGTGGTCATCTGACAGGTGGCACCAGTTCCAATATGGGTCCTGTCATCAAGGGCGACCAAGGTGGCCAGATGGCACTCATGTCTGGTCTGGGACTCCAAGGCAATGGTGCCACAAATTTGGGAACACTGGGTGGAGTGGGAATGGGTGGGCCACTGAATGGTGGTCTGGGGGGTGCTGGCCAGGTGAGTTGGCTTGAAGCTCTTGTGGTGGTTTGTGTTTTCATATGGCACCACAGTGGGGTGGCAGAATATACACTGTGGGTCCTCTGCCAATAGTAGCAACTCTGATGGCAGTGCCTGTTGGGTTCCGCAGGTGTTGTCCAAGACACTTGTGGAAATTTGGCAGAAATTTGGACATCAGTGCTGCACACAGTGATGTCAGCTTGGATTGTGTCTTTGGTGATGAAGGGACATCTGTGATTGCTGAATATGCTAGCTTCCTAGGGTGGTTTCATAACATGAGATGTTGTTGATTGATTCTCACTCAAAGTCACACAATTGACAACATATTGGCTGGATCAGTTGTAGGCTTGCTGCCTGTGGGCCAGCCAGTGCACACATAAAGCATTATGTTTTGTTTTTCATTGTTGACCCACACTATCCTTTGGTTCCTGTAGTCAACAATTTTACAATTGATATCTTTCGTGTGCTTTCCGTTTCGAAATGCACTTGTTGAGCACGTTGGATGCTTCTCATGCTTGGGTCAATTGAGGATAATTGAGCCGTGCATCTGACAATGGTTGACACCAGCAATTGGCTTTTGCTGCATGCCCAGGGCACCATGCTTCAGCAGCAGATTGCACAGGCTAATGCGGTCAATGCAGTTAATGCAGCCATTGCCCAACACCAGCAGCAACAGCAGCAACAACAGCAGCAGCGCCTGGTGGCTGCACAGCAGGCAGCACTCCAGCAGTCGGCCAGCCTTGGAAGGAATGTGCTGTCTGGGGCTGCTGGCTTGGGTCTTGCACCTGGCCAGATGAGCTTGATCCAGTCAGATGTGGGCGTTGGATTGGGTAAAGAAGACATCATGCTGCCCCCCGATGCCGCTGCTACCCTTTATGTTGATGGCATACCGGCTGACATCACAAGACGCGAATTTGCCCATGTCTTCCGCCCCTTCGATGGGTACAAGGTGGGCATTGCTGAGAGAAGTTGACGCACCTGGCCCCCACTGTTGTGTATTTGCAGAAGAGCATGTTAGGATGCATTGAAATTAGGTCGTGCATTGCAGCACCCCTCTTCAATGGGGCATTTTGTTGAAGGCGGAATCGTTGGTTCTGCGACCATCGAGTCACGCTGGGAGTGTCGCTGCACATGCCGTCACATCCCCTCTAGCAGTGGTGGTGCTCCTGGTAAGGCCGTGATGTGCAACGTTGCACCAATCCCGACATACTTTTGGCTTCTGCTACTGCAGGGTTCCAGAGTCGTGATAAAGGAGAGGGAGAATGGCAAGTCGATGCAGGTGTACGGCTTCGTGGACTTCAACACTCCACAGGAGGCTGCCTATGCCAAGCAGCAGCTGCAGGGGTACCCCATGGACTTGGAGGAAGAGACTACCAACTGCCTGAACATATCATATGCCCGGCCATTGCGCAACCCCAACGTCGTGGGCAGGAAGGGCCACAAGGCAAGAGCGACGAAAGCCATCTGACCAGAGCCGATCCCCACAGGCAGCTGTGTGCCTGCCTGCCTGTTAGCTGGTGATCCTCCTGATGCCCCTTTGCCTTAAGTTTGGGAGGTTGATCGATCGCCTGGGAGCTCTGCGGTTGTCTTAAGTAGTGTTTTGCTTGGCTGCTGTCCTGCCAAGTGACTTGTAGTTTGCCAGGGCGCCCTCTTGTGCTTGCTCTGCGCCCTGTGCACAGCGTCTATGGTGTCAGAGAAGGGGCTTGACAATTAATTACGCTGGGGATTGATTGGGTTGACTGCGACTGCTGAGTGTTCATGAACTACCCGCGCACTCATCTTGCCGGATGGTGCACATAACGTTTGTTGCATTGTTTGTTTGTTTGTGGAAAAGGATCGCGCGCTGCAGAGATGCCCCCACGGGAGGGAAAGCTCCATCTTGTGCTTGTGAGCTTTCTCAGGGATCAGTTTTCCATTTTTTAGTTTCGGTCGTTGCACTGAAGCGGGGGTGCTCCTTTTCTTGTTGTTTTCTCTGGGATTTTGGGGATTTGTGCACTCTGTTGATCTGCTGGGGACGCAGTGCCTGAGATACTTGGGGAGGGGGGCGAGCGGTGGGCCACAGAGACTCTCAGATTTATGCGATTTGCTGGATTTTGTTCCCTGCAGTTTGTGAGGTGTGTTTGCGATTGCTGGTGGTCTGCTGTGCGGGATGGGTACCCAGGGCCGCTTCTAGTCCGGGGGCGAAGCAATCCCTCTGAGGTGACCCCGGTCTGCTGACCGATGTTGGAAATTCCGAAGGTAGAGAACTCAAGTGTGAGGTTACGGACGATTGCCTGTTTGTACCTGTGAGTTTTGTGTTGATTCCAGCCTGGAGTGAATGGCTGAACGACCACTGCTTATGCTGGTCAGCGCGATGGCATGACAGCTGCCGTCAGTTTCGTGACACCTTGGTGGCCTCTTGGTCGCTGATGGGCCAAAGATGGCGCCATTCTGGGCATTCATACCCATGTACGGGTCGCAGTGGGTGCCAGCGTTAATTTGGTCTGAACGGATGTTTTGTGTCCGCATGAGATTGCCAGCGTCCGGCTCAAAACGCCACGAAAGGACCCTAATTCGGACATTTTTTTCCGGCCGGGAAAGCTTAAGAAGGCAAAAAGTTCAGACACACGAGCATCGACGACTTCTGCCTTGAACTTGAGATCCCGGTATTCATAAGCGGGACAACTGAATGGCGGTTACCGCAGCAGGGTGGCTGCGAAGCCGAGTCATCTGTTCGCTGATGGCGATGCCCTAGTACAAGATGCGACGGGCAACTTGGACGCCTACCACCTCGCCGCACCATGCACATTGCTGTCCACACCAATGCGTCGTTAGCAAAAGAATATAACATGCATACGTGCACCAACTTCGATTTGAGCCTCACACCCTCCAGCAGGGTTACTGATGTAGTTCGATGTATGGTTGGCAACAGTGCACTAGAATTGCCAGTGTCGGGCAAAGTCTGGTACGCAACACCTCCATTCGGACGCAGTGCGAGGCAAATTGTTGAAAAGCAGCCTCAATTCGGATATTGTGCAGTGATAAGGCACTCCGGCAGACATGACGGCACCTCCAGGTTTGACAGACATTGCCGACCTCCTGTTTGCTCCTCTGGTGGCTGGCACGCCTGAGGAGGGTCCATTGACAGACATGACGTTCCCACAGTAACCCTGACAGGCTGCGGGTTCAGGGGAAACGTCAGGGCTGGATGCGACATCCATTGCCCTTCGCAGCACGACTGCCATGTAATCAAGCAGTTTCAGATTCGGCGGTCGACGATAACAAGGCGGCGAGCCTGTGCTGACTTTGGAAACGAGACCAGAAAACCACAAACCACCGCATCTTACACTCCACAGCCCAGGCACAACGATCGCCTGTGGTTGCCATGACCCACGGCAACAGTGTTCTGGTCCCAGCCGAAACCCCAACATTCCCTCTACACGTCAAACCCTAACCCGCCGGTACAATCTATCATTCTGTACCTAACACCCTCTTGTCATGCCACACCAATTCTCGTCAAGACAGAATATGCTCCACATCACTGCCATCAGCTTCCACATCAGCGAATATTCCCCACACGGCATCCTTACATCATTCCCGCCATGTTACATGCCCTGGGTTCGCACTGCCCCGAATCCACACATAAGTCTGTCAAATATGATGTCCAGCTAAGTCACATCAACTATCACCTCAGCGCGTACCACAAAATCAAAATAAGAGCCAGCATAATTTAGACTACGTCCACCAGTTGCATTTTTATCATTTACTATTTTACCCATTTTTGATTATCAATCTATTGCGACAGCCCACAACTTGTACTTTACTACGATCTCATCATCATCAGAATCCGTTGACTACATTTGTCATGAAATGGCAAAACACAGCCCTACCGGTTGTACTGATCTTGTACTAAGATCTCATATCTAACTAGATATGGAATCTCCCACTCTACAGACTCACAATGCCAGCACTATCACGTAGTTCATCCTCAAGATAGTCATATGTCCAAGGTGTCAGTGAGGGAAGCATCTCCCTCTTCCTAGCAGCTTCCAGGAGGGCTGGCGATCACAAATCTCCTAGGATCTTGGGGGGAAGGTCCAGTTTGCGCCCATTCCAATATCGGAGAAACTGCTTGAGCTCTCAACTTCTCCCGGTCAAGTCTGATGCTTTCCTCCTTCCACTCCTTTTCACATGCAGTGGCTTGGGCCCAAGGCAGCTGCCTCCATCCTTCCCCTTGATCTATAAATGTGACCAATACATTGTAACGATATTGCCACATGTCACATTCAGTTCGGTCAATCTGATCAAAGGTTAGACCTTGTTGTCTCCCTTTTGCCCATTTTGAGGAGAAATCCCTCTCCAATGCCACCTGCTTATTGTAGAATTTCTGATTTGCTCGGTCCAGAGGAGTGGATTGTACACAGGTCGACTGGCGATTGTTTGATGAGTACGATCATGGAACCTCACCATCTCCAGCCCCAATTTGTTCATGATGTCATGTCGGACAATTCTTCAGAGTCCCCCATAAGGCTGCTCATCCAACCAGACCGGCTGCAGCTCATGCACACACTGATCAAGCTGATTGACTGCTACAAGTAGACCTTGTGCCACCCTTTGCAGCCCGAACTCCTTCTCCTGAACAGCATCCCGCACCGCTTCTATCCATTGCAGAGTGGTAGCCTCCTATTTGGTTGCATCAGAATAAGAAACATGTCGACAAAAACCCAAAACTTTCAGTCGTAGATCCACTCTTCATTGTACTTCACGATAGGCCCTGTCCAATGTGGCCTGGCTACGCGGCACTCTGCCGTTCACACTGGGGGCAACGCATGACCTCACAAACCTGGTCGTAGGATCCATGTGGATCATTGCGCTTACACAACATGCATAGCATGCCTGCGTTTTGCCACTGCCCTCCCCTGCACTTGCTTATAACCCTCATACACTTCAGAACCCTAGCCATTGCACCGTCTACATCTCAACAACTCGTCACTACCCACATCAGCACTCAGTTACTTTGTCAGCTGGATTATTCACATACCAGTTGTCAACTCACCGCTTCCGCCTCTCACACCGAATCTGTTCAATCTGCCCCATAGCATGGAACCCTTTCCATACAGTCTGACTAGGCACTGCTCGGGGCCACTATAGCCACTACTCACCACGCCTGCCCTAGGCACCTGCCGGAATGGGCACAATCTCGTCGACCAGGGGGCCTCTGCCCCTTTTAGCCATTGCCACATGGTGTAGCATGCTTTCCCTTGCTCCAACCAGTCGTCCAACTCCTGTGCTCATTGTTCATGCCGTCTCTGAGCTGCCACCAAGTCTGAGAAGTCTTTAGTTAGGCTGCCCGCATCTTTGGCACCTTCCAGTAGTTCCACTCGAGCAGCCGCTTGTTGAAGCAATGGTCAATGCGCTGTCCTGCCCTTGACCATCCCGTAGCGAGGGCACTTGAAAAATGCTCCTTCGCCACCAAGTCTTCCAGCCAGTAGTTTTTGCCTCTGGCCAGTTCCAAGGCAGTCTGAAGCATGGGAGAGTTGCAGGTCTTGGCATATTGCTCAAGGTTCTGGACCCCAGCATTGAAGACATCAAGTACTGGTTCCAACGCTTCAACAATAGCCTTCCGTGCAAATCCTTCTTCATGTTCGACGTCCGTAGCGTCCACACCCTCCACTTTCTCCAAGCCATCCATCAGTTCGGCTATCAGCAATGTTGCAACTCGTTGCATGGACTCGTTCTATAAAACTAAGTGACGCCATTCCTTGATACAACCTGTTACGGCTAGAACTGATTGAGTGTTATTAATAACTGAATGTATGAAAAGATGACGAAGCACTAAGGATTGCATTAGGGATGTTGATGAACGGACTGGGTATAAAGGACAGAACGTCTGTTGTCCTTTTGCCTCGGCTGTAAACCGTTGCCGTGGACTCGAGCGTATAATTCCCGTTCAGGGATCGCCACCCCTCGACCCTGCCTGCCTTCGTCACAACCCTCCTTGAGATGACATGCAGCCAGCCAAGGGGCATCATAGACGCGCTCTCCTTCAGGGCCAAAAACATGCACTACGGTTACAGAACTGTGGGCAGGCCCACGTTGGGCAACGTGGCCGCACGGCCGACGCGTTTACGGGCGTGGGAATACCGTACTGGCCGCTGGTGCGCGTCGGGCAATTCGCGTTGCCTGCACTTGCCGACGTGTGCGGGTGAAAACCCTCGAAACGCTGATCCGATGCGACCTAATCCCCCCGTGCGCCTACGCACCCCCACACGGGCCCAGCTGCTACACATGCCCACGTATGCAAATGCTGCCCACGCGTCTGTCCGCCCGCTTCTGCCACGCCGGGCCGCGCACGGCGTACCCCACGTGTCGATAGGAGGCCGCTTCATGGGCATGCCCACGCCTGGCCGACGTGAGCGGCCGCTGAAAGCGTGCGGCCGCATCGTCGGGCTGTCCATGCAGGGGACTCCCCACATCTTGCTCCGTTGA